TACACAAGGGTGTGGTGCTAAGATGCAACCTGTATGAATGTGCATCGGCATCGATTGCCTTTGCTGAGATCATGCCCTTTGATCCAGCTGACTACCACCGTGTTTTTTTTTCGACGCCCCTGTGAGGGTACGGTAACAATAATGTAGGTACTAGGTCTGACGTGAGTCGTGGTCTAGATAGAATTAGTACTGCTTGTCTGGCAGTCCGTGTGGATATGCATCATCTTAATTGTCAGTGATATTGTTACTGACCATCTGTTCTGCATCGATGGTTATGCCAGTAAATTCCGTTTGGAGTACATTGGTCATGGAACCCAAGGGCTTTAGTTAGGTTTAGTTTGAGGGCTTTGGAGTAAACTCCGCATCCCGAGCATGTTAATTCAGTTTTGGATCCGTCATGCAGTGTAGATATTACTTACCCCTGCTACTGTGTTGTTACCAATAATGCCTTTGGTGTTGATTGCGTAGTGCTTTTTGGAGACGAAATATGGCGTTGCAGAGTCAACTCTGGCTTTCTACAATGGAAGCGAGTTCGTTGCCCGTTGCCCGTTGCGTCAAACATAGAATTACTTCCAAAGCCCTAGTTATACTACCTATCCCGACGTTATACGATCAATCCTTAAAACTGCTATGCTGCGAAGAATCAAAAGGAGACATCATCAGAATTGGTTTGCTGAGAACAATAAAAAAATTCAGAACGTTATCGATCAATAGAGAAAAGCCAGTATTGAGTACAGTATCTGGCAAAATGACCCGAATTGAGCTCGCAAGGAACAAACCCATCTTCAGGCAAAGGCTGAAGTAGGTACCTCTATACAGAGAATGTGAATGCTAAACAACCAGTGGTGGGACAAAGAAGTCAATTAAATTGGAACATTTATCAGCCACTAACAGCACCAGAGCTTTCGTCAGCGCCACAATCAAAAAGGAATCTTTAGTTCCTCTGCAAAAGGTCCGAATCAAAAACCCATTCAAAACCATGTGAGATCTGAGTGAAGTTCGTTCCCATCAGGAGGTGGAAAAAAATAATAAAGCTGCTGGGTTAGACGGAGGTGGTCGAGCACACACATAGGTTCATTGCCAAAATATAGAACACGGAGACCATTCCCAAAGATTTGCGAAATTGGTACCTACTTCTATCGTCACTATATATTCAACAAAGGGAATAAAGCACAGTGTGGATTAGTTAACAAGGAATATCACTACTCTCTACAGCCGGAAAAATTCTTACCAGGATTCTCTTCAACCGACTTCTGCCTTTAGCCGAAGCAACCCTACCAGTGTGGCCACAGTGTGGCTATAGACCTAACCGAGCAACAGCAGATATGATCTTTAGTGCAAAGAAATGCAAGAAAAATCCAAAGAGCAAAAGAAACCTTTGTATAATGGCTTTTATAGACCTTGTCGAAACGTTTGCCTTGCATTGCACTGCTGCCCGCCTAAATTCATTAACATACTTCGATTACCTACTTCCTATTTACTGCATGACAACATGAATCACGCCGGAGAAGCCATTAAAATAACAACCAAGTCAAACAAGGATGTGTCACTGCGCCAAGTCTATTCTCTAAATTTGTAGGAGCCGTACTACACCTTATCCAAGAAAACCTGCCGTTTGGCGTTGAAGTCTCCAATAGAACTGATCGTTATAGCTATTCAATCTACATGTTAAGTAATTGTCGGTTGATAAAATTATCTATTATTTCTTAGAGAGTAACCTCAACTTTCAAAATGTACGGTAAATCATGACAACAAAACATAGATCAGTTGTTCTTCACGGCCTAATTGCACTTCTGAGTCTGCATGTGCTTTAGCAATATCTTCCTCCCCTGGGATGTTGTACTGACTATTCAGGTCTTTTTCATAAATTGCAAAGCACAACACAACATTTGATGACTTCACAAACAAACGCAGTACCTATCTGTGAGCCTCAAATAAATTAAACAAAGAAATTTTTCTTTCAATATACCTTGATCCATTCTTGCTCTTAGTAATACTAAGTATTTCTTAATACTCTAGCATCACTTACACTGCCTGGCCGGTTAGCAATAATGCAATAAAACTTTTAAGATGTTCCACACACAAGCATTATCTTTAATGAGTGATTTCCGTGAAGATCAACAAATGCAGGTTCATGTGCAGCTGGGGCATCGATTTTAATAAAGCCTAGTACTCATAACAGCGAATTGCGGATTTTTTTCTATTGGTCAAATATATTTAAACCTGTCAAATTTAAATAAAAACGACCAACAGAAAAAAATCCGTAAAATAAAAATCCGCAATTTGCGGTTATGAGTACTAGGCCCAAGGGTCCCATCAACAGCCCCAAAAAGAAGGGGTAAGCCAGTATTTTTATTGAGTCAGTAGGTATATATCACTCCTACTCCTCCAACATCATCAGTCACAAACTATTTCTCTGAGAATGGTTTGATTAATGGATAAAATAACTTTATGAATGATTCTTGAGTAGGTAGGTTCAGCTTAGTGGTTTTGGAAATTCCATCAATATTTTCCGTACCCGTACAGCGATATTTCATTTCACTTCCAAGCCAATGCATTGCTATCATAAGTTGCTGGTTTGGTGCTAACGCATGGTTTTGTCTAATACCGTCAACTATGTTCTATCCCGTTAAGAGTTAATTGAAAGTTTTCTGGAGCGTCCACTTAATTCGTTTTCCATAAAGGTACATATCCTATAGGAAAATTTTTGCCCTAGAAAGTCTTAAGCGTCGCACTAATATTCTAGTTTTACAGTATGGAAAAATTAGTTCTACATTCTTTTGTTCTACACAAGGGTCCGTTCTCGTACGGATTTTATTTCTGCTGTATTTTAATGGCATATTCAGACTTCCAATTCAAAGTCGATTCAAAGCTTTTGCAGATAGTACTCTTTCTTGGGAAGTGAAAAATATTGATAATTCAAAGGATAGCGTCCTGAGGCATTTAAGAACACTGATTAAACAACGTACAATGTAGTGACGCAAATTTTCTCTGCCTTAATACAAAAAAAAAAAAAACCACGGTCTCTTGACATTTGATAATATATTGTGCAACAAGCGTTCAAAATAGCACTTTTCACACACGTGAGAAAGTTTCATCAGACGAGTGGCACAAACCGCACGAGTGTGAAAAGTGCTTTTCACACGCGTTACACACTATACTTTTTCTACGACTGCGAAATATCTATATTCAAATTGAGATTTATTTTTTTTTGTTAAAAAATTATAATAAACGAACAATTTTGGTACCTACGTACGCTGAATGCACTAAGACTTGCTCTCAGAACAAAAATTCAGTGGAAGTGTCATTTTTATTTTAGCGCGCGAAAAGTAGGTACTTTTCTCACGCTGTGCGGAATAATTGATTTCCTAGATAAATTAGCAGTGCGTTTTTAATAGCTTTCTAGAGCAGTTGTAGAAAAATTAATTTAAGATGATCTGTATCTAAAAGCTCAATCAAGCCACCTGCAAGTTCTCTGGGATTAATGTTGACAATCAGCTTACATTTTTTACACATTTTAGCAATAAGTTGGCTAGTGGATGTATGCCATTCAACAAACTTGGCCATACTTCTGCTAAAATGGCAAAAAAACACTTGTTGATTCAATATCGATTGTACAAAAAGGGCAATAAGGTATCTGTGTAGAAGAGCATATAGAGGTGCACCACTATTTTTTTAAAGGGAGTGAACTCTGCGCCTACCGGTAGGTCCCATTTGTTTCATTGATTGTGTGCCTACCGTTTGTATGACGTTAAAACATTATGGTAGGTCCCCAATTGCGACATGGATATAACGCCTATCGGTAGGTACTGTTTGTGAAAAGAATCCTGAGCCTACCGGTAGGTTCATATTAATTCAAGAATCCGTCGCCTACCTATTGTGCATACCTATATGTGAATATATTTGAAAAAGGTTTTCCACGTTTTTGGTGAATTTACGTTCCAAGAATCTTCTCTTTGAAGTTTCGCGAGCGGAGCGAGCAATGAGTCTCAAAAATAATTTAAATTTCAAGGTGTTATATTTGATAAAAGTTTTTCACATTTTTGGTGGATTTACCGGCGAGCAGAGCGAGCAATCGCAGATTCAAAAATATTTTGAACAAGAAGGTGATATATTTGAAAAAGGTTTTTCACATTTTTGGTGGATTTGCTCTCCCAAGGATCCTCGCTTTGAGGTTTGCTCAGCATAGCAAGCAATCGAAGACTCAAAAATAATTTCAAGGTTATGCAGAAGGATTTTCAATAGGTTGCCGTCTAGAATTAAGCAGATTTCAAACATCAACAAATTTAAAGCCCAAATTAGGGTGATGTTAGGTAGGTACTAATAAAGGCTTATTACTCAGTGGACGAATTTCTTAATGACAATTCTACAAACAAAATTGTATTAACATATTTAGCTAGCAAGAGCTGACTGGTAGGATATACAGATTCTAAAGTAATAAAACACTTTCCAGTAGGCGCTTAATCAGTTTACGAAAAAGGACCTACCTACCAGTAGGCGCACAATCGGTGGATGAAAAAGGACCTACTGGTTGCGTACGATCGTTGGATAACAAAGGACCTACCGGTAGGCGTAGGGTTCACTCCCTTTTTCAAATTGAATTTGGACAGTTTACTGTATTTTTATTCTAGAGACACCAAATATTATACACACTAACTTTTACGATCATTCAAGATCTTATGAAACTAGACTAGAAAGATTTAATGATTCACCTATTCACCTAAGAGAAATCAAAGAACTGGAAAGGTTTAAAGCCGCTTCAAAAAGTTTCTTATGTAAAAAAGCATAAAATATACTTATCTAATTTTGTATATATTTTTCTCACCTTGTTTCGATGTTTTACTATAAGATTTTTATTATTATTGTTTTACTAGAGCTTTGTCCATAAAGAACATATGAAGAAATGATAAAATATTCTCTATTTTCTTGGAACAGTAGTGCTTCTTCCATATTGGGTAATTTAGAGCTGAGAACTCACTAATTTGATACAATAAAACATTTTGACAAAATAAATACTTAAATTTATTTGATAACTTCACATAGGTAATACAAAATATCAATTTGCATTGGCGAGGCAGAAATGGCACAGTGTAGGACACAACAATATTTTTACTCTTTTTTGAGTTTAAAGAATAATTCACACATTGTTGAAGGTACTTTAACAATCATTTAAATCATATTCGTTATATACATAAAAAAAGTAAATTTCCTATTCCTTGTCCTTAATATTATGGTATATCACAAAAAAAAAACATTCTAAACATTAATCTAGTTGACAATTTAAAAACAAATCATTGGCTGTAACTCTCGAACCAACAATTATACAGGGTGTCCCACTAAATTCTAACCAGGCGATAACTTCGGAACGAAACATCCATTCAAATTTAAATTTTGGGGATCTAGGTAACTTTTTGTGCCCTTCAACATGTTTTATAGAATTTTACCAATTTCGCTCCAGTGATTTGAAATTCTAAATGCAACAATATGGTATATTTTTTGTTAGAAAATGATACAAAATTGGTGTAATGTCCTGGAAATGTCTCTCATACAGAAGATTGTTGTAATGAATTCAAACATGCCACAGAAGTAGAATAGACACATCTATTTCTCTTTCTGGATCACCGTAGCATGTAGGTCGCAGCCTTCTCTACAGATAGCATAAATACGACTGAGGAAAAGAATGTTCCCCTGTTTTACTCTATATGTCTTTGTTATAGCAATAATTATAATGTAACTTCATTGTTTGTTAGTCGCAAAGTAATTTCCACGCTTTCTACTATGATTTATGATTCCATTATTCATATAGTAATAAAGACGAGTTAATAAATAAGCAGTATAACAACCAAGTTGGGTTTTATTCCGGGAATAACACGATTTAACAATTGGCAATGCCATATTTGTTGAAGGGGGTAAGACCCACAAATGAAAGTTTTGGTGCAAAAAAATCTATAAACAAATATTTAAACCGCATCTTGCTACGATGGTCCGTTCTCGAGTTAGGGCGGTTTAAAGTTACAACTAGGTGTTTGTGACGTCACGCTGGATTATCAGGGACAGTGTAAGAATATTCCAAAACAAAAGACAATTATTTCCTAGGGCGAATTACAACCACTCAAAGTATAGGGTACACTGACGACTGAACGAACAAAAAATTGCGATTTCGGCGGTTGTGACATCACAAGTTCCTGCATAATTTATCTTCACAAGGAATTTTCTCGGAGACTATTTTGAATATAGGACTGCGGTTTTCACGAGAGATCTTAGATTTTTTTTCTTGATTTGAGTAGTTTAAGTCGTTTTTTAGGGTCACACCCCTTTAGGCTCCGTTTAAGTAAATGAAAAATACAAAAATAAGTACGAACAGAAACTAATTAATCATGTACAGGATGGACAGGTATGCTCAAGCTCAGGTGACGCATTTAAAATTTCAAAAATACCATCACTGCACTAAAAATGAAGTGAAAGTGGTAAAATTGGATAAAAAATGTAGAAGCGGCACAAAAAGTTACCTTGATCCGCAAATTTCCAATTTTATTGGATGGCGTGTTCCAAAGTTATTACCTGGTTAGAATGTGGTGGGACACCTTGTTTATTTCAAATCGTTTGAAACGGAAATATCAGGGATCAGCCAAAATGCCCATTTTACACAGGTGATAATTAGCCCCAAAAACTTCCAAAAAAAATTCAAGTGGTTCAGCAGAAAGTATTAAATAAAGTAGGCAAAAGTTATAGCCCATTCTTTATTTTTAAATTGTGCCAAAAAAAAAAAATCTCTTCAAATAACTATGTGGTCGCAAAAAGCGAACAAACCCTAAATTTATGACAACCAGAATGAAGAGTCGTTGTCTCCAGTAATGTGGTTTCTATATATTTCAAAATTATGCTGTGAATCCGTGATACTTAGTTTTGACCTATGACCAAGCCGGTAGTTTAAAATCAGTATGCCACTCCTGCTGTAGTTCGGGGCATCTATTGTAATATCTGGATGTTTGTACTCCTCTGCGGGAATCAATCTGGAGTCGCAGCATGGTACTTTGAATTCATTGGTGATGAAGTTCCAAATACATGTGCAGTCAGCGCAATATTGTTGGACCATCTCAAAGGGTTCCTCGGTTCGGCATGCGCCAATTTTAATGTATACTGCACATTGAATTTCTTCTTTTATAGGACAGACCTGAAAAATAATCAACTTGAACCATGTCACTGATAAATAGTGCGTTATCTATAGCCAGAATCCAAACATTCTATTACCAACTAATATCAGAATGTTTGAGCCCTAATAAGCTCTGAGTGAAAAGACTTAGCACCGCCTTACTAAATATTGTCACGGCTCTGGGGTGCGTGACAAAAATCTTGGGTTCCTTTATTCCAAAATGAAAGTCCAATTCACACAACAATAATTTATTCCACTCTGGAGGGGTTTATTTGAAATCCGTGCAAATCTTTCACATGCGACTCAGTCGGTCGACGAATTCTAAAATTCACGATCGGCTTATTTGAAATCTAGTGCATTCTGTAAATCGTGAATTTTTAAATTTGCACTACTCAACTTGGCAAGGTGTCCTGTAAAATATTCTAACCAATGACATTGTTAGAAAATTTCATATGACCAAACGGAACGACGCATTGAAATGTCAAATTTGAAATTGCTTAACGTAAACAACTTTTTTGATTGTTTCCGTGCATAAAGTTTCGTGTTTGGTTGGAGTTTTTTTTTTTGTTATCTCATTTTAATCTTTCCATAAGTTTGAGTATTTGAGTATTTAACTTATATATGATTACATGATTATTTAATTGTTTTCACATTACATTACTGTTAAATATATACACCTAAGATGCTATAGAATCTGTATGTGCAATGAACAAAAAAAAAAAAAAAACAAGAAAATCTACATTAGGTTCCCAACAAAACCAAAAACCCAAAAGGCATCAAATAAATTGATGGAGCCTTCAGGCAAACAATGAAGATAATTATAATACCATAAGTGTAAGGCAATACCGCAAAAAGGATGGAAAGTGCGGGGGCAAGCGCCAATAAGAGAAGGGCCGGATTTGTTACCAAAAAACAAGAAGAACTCTTGGTCGAATGTTTGAACAAAAATATCCGGCCCTTTTGTCGGGAAAATTTTTGAACTCCTTTTAATGAAAGAAATCTCGAAACATTTTTTTGAAAGTCGAAAGTTTTTTATAAATTCCCCGTCATTACCTAAGCATTGTTACTTGGATTTCTCAAGCCTTTGCGGTTATGGTTATACAATTCGGCCCTTTCTAGAGCATTTAAATTAACAATCTTTTCGAATTCCATGAGGCCAAGAATATTCTTTGGCGACTAAACTGAAATTTTTAAGAAACTTTCACGTGCAATTTGGAAATGCACGAGCTCTAGAGGTGAAGCATGTCAAATGCAATCTTGCGTCGACGAATTTAGCGAAATGCGTCGACGAGAGTTTCAAATAAGCTACATGTGCATTTTTTTGAATTCCACCGCTAAAAATTGTGACTTAGTCAGATGTATTTGAATTGCACGTTTCAAATAAACCCTCCCTGGCACTGATTACTTCACTAATTAGGTCAAACAGCTAAACTCTCAACAATAATCACTATTTAAATCATATCACAGTCAATGCTAAACTTGAAAACAACTAACTAATTTCGGCCTTTATATATCCGTAATCTATTCGTGTAAAATCCAGAATAAACGCGATAATCTTATTTGTCCGATTAAAGTAGTCATTTCTGGAATTTTAGCATGTATTCTGGATACCGTGGCGATAGCGCATCGTAACACTGCCCTCCTCTTAAGGCTGATCGTCCCGATCAACTTCACGCCCCTGATATTTCGTCAATCTGTCCAGATGTACAACTTTCATCTTACTCCTGGGGTGGCGCTAAACTCGATATACCAAATCATTAATCCTCTTGATTATTCTGTAGGGTCCTTCCCATGCTGAAGACAATTTCAGCGACACTCCTTTCTTTCTTGTTGGATTATACAGCCACACCAAATCACCTTTTTGAAATCCGGCTGAATTGGCTGTCAAGTCGTATATGGTCTTCATTCGGTCACTGGCCAGCTGAATATGCTCCCGAGCTAAATCGTGTATTCCCAGAAGTCGGGCCCTTACTTCGTCGGCATAATCTCGAATTTATTTTCGTTCTTCTTCAGGTATTCCAAACATCAGATCGCAAGGTAACCTGAGTTCCCTTCCAAAAACAATTCTACCTGGCCTTTCACCTGTTGACTCGTAAACAGCTGCTCCGTAAGCCATTAAAAATAGAGGCAAGCGTTTGTCCCAATCCCGCTGGTTCTTTGCGACCACTTTTGTCAGGTGTTCCTCTATGGTCCTATTAAATCGTTCTACCATGCCATCAGACTGTGGATGTAAAGGTGTTGTCCTTGTCTTAAGAATACCGATCATCTCACAAATTTTCTTAAAGATGACAGATTCGAAGTTTCGTCCCTGATCTGAATGCAACTCTTGTGGCACACCATGACGACTGAAAACTTCGTTCACTAGCACCTGGGCAATAGTGATGGCTTCTTGACTGGGAACAGCGAAAACTTCTGGCCATTTACTGAAGTAATCCATGATAACTAAGATGTATTTGTTACCAAGCTCTGACTCAGGGAATGGTCCGGCAACATCTATCGCTATTCGTTCAAATGGGAGACCGACGTTGTACTGTTTCATGGGCCCTCGAGATCTTAGTTCAGGGCCTCTACTGGTAGCACAGATGTCGCATTTTCGACACCAGTTTTTAACGTCTTCATGATAGTGAACCCAGTAAAAACGTTCCCGAAATTTGTCCAAAGTCTTGTTAACTCTAAAATGTGCCCCTGAAGTTCCATCATGTATTTCTTTTAATACATCTCCTACTCGATCTTTTGGAATAACCAGTTGGCTCTTAGTGGACTTCCCATCGGCACTTTCCCAAACTCTTAAGTAAACCATTTTCTACGGCCAGAGAGTTCCAGTGAGCCCACAACGCCTTGTAAATCAAGCTCTTGTTCGACACTTTCCTCCATTCTAGCCTACATTCATCATTATCCTTAAGATGTAGCATTTGTCCGATGTCCTGGTCTGCTTCTTGATCTGCTCTCATTTGTTTGGTAGTTCATTTATCATCGACGATAAGACCAGTTCTTCTCACAGCCGGACCAGTATTTTTCTCATGCATATCGATTCTTTGACAATGATTACAGTCTTATGCATGGCCGTGTAGACAGAGCATCAGCATTTTTATGCAGGTTTTTGTTTAATTTAGAAATCGTATTGCTGCAATTTCTCAATCCGTCTAGCAAGCTGTCCTTCGGGAGTTTCCATTTCTAAAAGCCATTTAAGAGCCGCGTGATCTTCTCGAATTAGGTATAAACTTACGGCCGTAGAGATACTTATGGAAACGACGATTGATGTATCAAATACGTCGGCGAAGTCAGAAATTCGATATCTCCCTTGGTTTCAATCAAATTAGACTCTAAATATCATTTGGAACAATATTTTCTTATAAATTTTTTATAAAAATGCCACTTTTCCTTGTTTGAAATTTTCAAATGGCATTTGACAGGTGTGAGGCAAGTCTCGAGTCAAAAATTTTAGGTGTTTTTTTGGTTTTCAGTCATGCAGAACCTAATGCCAAAAACCGATTTGAAGTAAGGATGAGCATAAAAAAAATTCCCATATGGTGCAGACTTTTCCGCGGACACTGTAAAAGTTTTGGGGTTTTACCTAAAATTTTTGAAGCCGATGTCAAAAACTTTTTTGTTTTTCTAGAAATGTCAACTTTTGACAGATAATCAGTTTTTTCTTATGGAACACCCTATACATATTTGACTTCATAGTTGAAAAGAGTCGATTTTTCTTTCAAATATATATGGTTCAACTACTTCTATTTGAGCCGTTTTTGAAATATCGGGCTCTAAACTTTAAGAAAATAAAACATAGAAACACCTTGGTAGGCGGTGCATTGTTATTGTTTGACATGCCACAGGCCTTCCAATGTATTATTTTCTTGAAGTTTTGAGCCTGATATTTCCAAAACGGCTTAACTAAAAGTAGCTAAAATATATATATTTGAAATCAAAAAATTCGACTCTTTTCAACTATGAAGTCATATATAGGGTGTTCCATGAGAGAAAACTAACCATCTGTCAAAAGTTGACATTTCTAAAAAAACGAAAGGTTTTTGACATCAGATTCAAAAATTTCAGGTAAAACCTCAAAACTTTTGTATTTACAATTTTTTGATATCTCTTCATAATATTACCCCTGTAGTGGGGTGCGGGTTCAATATATGGGGAAAGACCTTGTACATACCAATGTATTTTCTGTATTTCAATAAAGCCTATGATATTCTATCCTATCTAATATCATGTATCATTCATGTCTGGTTTACTCAAATTTCTTTCAAATTGTTTGTTTTCTAAACGCTATATGAAAATTTTGGACTACAATTTAAAATCTCTGTTGAATAATAAAAACAGTTGAATACTTTTAAAAACACTATTAACATAATCGGGCACGTTTAAAGAATAGAAAGATGCAATAAAAATTAAAATAACAGAAAAAAAAACTCACAGTCCGTCTTGCACAACGTTAAATAAACTGAAAATGGACGCTTAAACTGAAACATGTAGGGACCTTTTTAATTTTTAATACTCAGAAATTTTCCGCCCTTCCCACCCTTGACAACATTGTTCTCCTTATTGATATTATTTGCTGCCAGATCACCATAATTTTGTTTGTTCCCTTTGTTTTGGTACTGTATGTTCCCGTTCAGGTATCCTGTACTGAACTGGAATTGTTTCTTGATTGTCTTTCTTTCTTGGAGGTTTCACATAGCAGGATTTTTTTAATTTTTTTGATTTTGATGTGCCCTTCTTCACCAATACTGTAATTTCATACAGACAAGTATTATACGAATTGATTTCCTTGCTATGACAAGCCTCGATCTGCAGGATGCGGTTCTACATTTCAATAGTCGCATATTAGGCCTAGTTCTGTCAAACTTTTTCTTGAGAAATTATACATATTGTCACGGAGGATGAATATCACCCTTCTCTCATTATCGACATCATCGTAATTATGTTCATGTACCAGACTTTCCAATAAACAGTAATCCGCCAAAGAAGTATATTTTAGAAAGGCAAACTTCCAACTGCAACTACAATTCTACAAATGTGAATTATGCATGCGATGCCTTGTATAAGATTCATGACATCTAATTCATGAAGCGACGGAGTAACACGGGCCTGGTAGCTCAAGGGGCCCGGTTCTACATGTCAATATTATTTTTGATCCTATTAAGTAAAAAAAAAATAGATTTGAAGCTAATTTATATAAAAATAAAAATCATGTGTAGCATCGTACACATGTTAAGAAGTGATACTTCTTGAAAACTATTATACAACTTTTAGATTTGAGAGTATGAGTCAGGGTAAAGCACTGATCGGGTAAAGACGAAATGCCACACAAACATTTTCAGTGTCGTCCAAAAGGTTTTGGCGCTTGACAATAATAGGCAATCCTCTTTACTTATAATCGTTGGTTTGTTTCAATCGTTCGTCGGCTGTCATTGGCTATCTTTCTTTGTCTCTCTACATTATATCATATCATTATTTTCTCTCGTCTATCGTGTAATGAAATTTGCACATGACGTTACGTGACATTTCTTTCAAATAAATTTCCATTCTCGTCCAAATATCAGACAGCCGTCAAAGCATAACTCGAGTTAAAATCAACCTGGAAGTGACTTTCTATTGAGAAACCGACCCTAAGGAGTTTCACTTTTTGATTTGGCTTATGATTTCTTTTATTCTTTTATAAAAACTTTCCGATTTTACCGCTTGTCGCGTGTCGCATATCTTCAATATTTATTGGTACCGACGACCACTCCATAATATGCCAGGATTGCTATCAGGTATGCCAACTCAAGATCTTGCAATCCCTGCATTGCGCTTTGTTTTGCTCAAGGTTGTTTGAGAGAAGTAGGTTACCTCATGACATCATCTGGGGTGCCGAAACATAATGCAAATCTCCATAAGCGGCACCCCAGATAAGTCATCAAGTTACCCCTTACTAGACAACCTATTAACTTTAGGAACCTTGGTTGTGCTGCCGTCTAATGAGGTGAGTTCAGCTCTAACATGAAGGGTATTTCTGGCATGACATTGTATATGAAATACCTATAGAATTTTCTGCCGAATCCAGAAATGTCATAACATACAGAGGGTACTATTTAAAAAAATAAGGTACAGCTGTTCTTGTATGAAAACATTAATGTGGAAAGATCTCAAGCAAAAATCGACGTGTGCGAGCATTTTTTCGGAAACGCCTTCATTTATTTCATATTGAATATGTTCCATACTTTAAGTTCACCCTGTATATTTGAAAAAAAATATATATTTCTATCATTTCTCAATTTTTTCATCTCGCAGGAGTAGGGGGCCGGTAAAATTTTTGAACACGGGCCCGGAACATCGTCACTACGCCACTGCGGAGTAAATACCCTACACCAAAGAAATGATAGTCCATATTTTCCATAGTATTTACACTAAGTGCAATACAAATATACTCTATACCCAATACTAATTTCCAGAACCAGTATTCGGAGACCTTTGATATGTGTCACATAGAAGCTTCGAACATCAACGCACCGCGAGCAAAAAGCCTCAAAATAAACTGACGTCGGGAACTGACTCTATTCCAAATTGTATCGTAATGGACTGGGTAGGTATACTGGCTGATCATCTTCAACATCTATTTAATTTAATTCTGTCAAGTAGATATATGGGAAGTTGCTATAATTATTCCTGTGCACAAACATAACGATTCTTCTGACGTCAATGATTATAGGACCGTGTCTCTTCTTTGTAACTTTTCGAAGATCTTCGAAATTATTGTCCACAATAGGCTGTAGGCATTATTCAGGAGTTTGCCATGAACAGCATGGGTTTGTGGAACTTTCGGAACTTATAACCACAACACTGGACGGGCGGGGACAGGTTGACGTGGTCTTCACAGATTTCCAGAAGGCTTTCGATTGAATCGATCACAAGTAATTATCGATTATAACTTGTTGTTTTACAAATTGGAGCAGCATGGCTTGTCAACCTCAGCAGCCGGTTTTGGTCCTATTCGTGTGGAATATGTCAGTTTGTTGAGCATGAGGGCTTCAGATCGCCGATGTTCGTCCCTACTTCTGATGTACTGTACCCCAAGGATCCAAACTGGGTCCTCTACTATTAAATATATTCATTGATGACCTTATTGATGGAATTACATTTATTTAACTGGCATATGCTGATGATCTGAGGCTTTTTTTGCCGATAGCCTCTGTTGAGGATTGCAAAACAATAGAAATCTTTTTGGTGATTGAATTGGTAACAGTAGATTATACCTAAACATTGCCAAATGTACTCCACAGGTTGAGAATATTTGTACTGCATCATCTCAAAAGCTGGGTTTTATTATCCGAAACAATAAACTTTTCACTCAATGATCTACTTCAAAGCTTTTGTATTACACTTTTATTCGCTCCAAGTTGGAGTACGCTTGTTCAATCTGGAATTCTATAAATGCCATGTAGCCAGTGTCCAGTCCATTCAGAGAATATTTCTTAAATATCTAGTAAATTTACTGTAATTGGGTTTAACCTGTTGGGAATAAACACCTGTTTATTTAATATTGTAGCTTTAGCAGGTTCATAGATAAGTAAGACTGCTTTTCCAACTAACCCAAACCAAAATATTTTTTTTACAAACAAATCACAACAAAACTAGCACTACTACAGCAGTTGAATTGAGCTTTACTATTCGCAAAACTATGCCACTATAACCCATCGCCCTACTGTCCAATTCCTAGGAGGCCCAACTCCAAATTCAAGAATACGGTATATGCATCAATTCTTCTTACCGCTGATTTCGTTAGTCGATAAAAAAATAAGTCAACACGTGTTTTTTCTTTTTCTTCTTAGTCAAAAATTGACGGAGATACAACGCTATGAAATTTGCCTATGACGTCACTTAGCATATAGCTTTATAATGTCGCAAATGCTCAGTATATCTATATATACAAGACTTAATATTTGTAAAACTACCGGAATAATCGTACTAGGATGGAAAAAACACGTATCGATTTTTTTTCGATTTCCTACAGTCTGCAATAAACAATAATCAATTTAATTTTTCATGCAAGTACCCTATTCTAGTCGCTGGGCATACATGGGTCAATCGATAAACACGACACACAGGTTTTAAATTCTTCCTTCATAAGTTTCCAATAACCTAGCAATTAATAAAATTTGCAATGTGAATGTACTTACTTTAGTTATTTTAATATTGTAATCCTGAGAATTCCTGAAAAATAATTGGTCCCTTTCGCAAAGTACCCGAGACAAATTGTCGACGAACTGTTCATAGTCAAAAGTGAGCTGAGAATGGACAACCTGTCTATCGTTCAGATGTTGGGCGGAGCCATCAAAATCTTCTGGAGGTTGGTCAAAGTCTTCTATATACAAAGGAAGTTCCAGGGGATTGTTGTAGTCATCTACAAAAAAAAATTAAATACGTATGAGATTTGACTTGCTTCAGCCTTTTAATTTTTTCTAAATTATAGTAACAAAGCATTTAGTATTTATGACACAATATTTTTTTTTTTTAATAACAGGGCAACATCAAACAAAATTGCAGCGCTAATTTGCATGATGATCAAAAATTTGCCCATATAAGATGGTAAAAAAGAAGATGAACAATATTTGGAAAAGTATGAAACTGATCGAGTTGTCTATTAGTGCACAACACAGAATATGGTCCACATATCTATGCAAATCTAAAAACTCATTTGCCAAAGGGTGTCAATATCTTATTTTCAAGGTTGTTCATAAAAATTTCCGCAATGGACTCAACATATTTTCTATTATTATTCCATGGTCCTGTCGAAAATTTAAAGTTTTTTGCAATTTTTAGTGAGAACCCGACGTCTGGCGAGTCGGCAAACCTCAGATTCGGATTCAGCACCCCAAAAAACATATGAGAAAAACATTTTTTTTTTTTCCTGAAAACGCTGTTTCTGAACCTTGAATGACTGAACTATACCAGGTGTTTTTCAAAACCCGCTCATCCCTATAACTTTTTTATTTTTACAAATAAACAAATGAAATTTGGTGTGTTTATTTATAACCCGGGTGTGCATTATTTGACGTGTTAAATTATTGATTATCACTTCCGGTTGGACCGGAAGTAACCCTTACTTTCTTATTTTAAATGAGACACCAGGTATATTTGCCTTTATTTCAATAGAAAACTACATTAGGAGTACAATGACACCTCATTTGTCACTTTTTGACATTTTATCTCCGAATCATTTAAATTTTTAATTTTTACTTTTTGATCTAGAGCGCCATGGATTATTTAAAATGCTTAATTTTGCTCAAAGGTACTTGGGAAAATTTGTCTTGAAAAATATGAAAATAATTAGACAACTTCATGTGCTCAGAAAATCGACCAAACACGCATAAAATTTCAAGTGCATAAATACTAAAACCTGTTATTTGTGTTTTTTATAGACACTATTTTGACATTGTTAGAGTTTCAAACTTACCTCGGCTATCTCCAGACAACAAAGAGCCATTCTCGTAGTCACCATTGGTATATCTTCGCACCGTCTTTTTAATCCACTTAGGATGATCTTGGCCAGAATCCAATAAAATCAATCGATTTTGATTATTACAGCTGTCTAAACCTAAATTAGAGGAAGCAATTGGATTTCTGAGTACAAGCCTACTGTCGAAGTCGGAACAGTTCTCTTCTAAACCCTGTGAGTAAATATTCACTCTGGTGTAATCTCTAGGACTAACAGGAGATTTGGGATAGTAAGGACGGACGGAAGTACAATAAATATGACGGGCACCGCTGGGAGAAAATTGACTGTTTCGCGAGCTGGGGCTTTGCATAGGCGAACGCCAACCAGGAGATCGAGGACTTAAGAATAAAGGGCCTAAATCAGCGGACCGAATATTACGACTTTGAGCTCGACGGAGATACCGACGTTCTCTTCTGAGTATATGGAATGGTACTATATTCTCAGTGTTGTCTTCTGAAAACTCATATTTTTTATCAGCTAAACGTTTTTTCCTAAATAAACTTATTTTCTCGTATTTTTCATTATCCTCTGTGAACTCGTATGTTTGTTCCGCAATTTTTTTATCTACAACTATGCTTTTTTCAGGTTGTTTTTGAGTTGAAGTGTTAGGAGCCATGAAAACATAGTCCCGGGGACTATTTTGTAAGCGTTTAATTCGCGATTCTAAAATAGGTAGAGTATTTTGGTAGCTTCTTCCCGTAACATTTAAAGGTTCACAACTAATATTGAGTTCATGAAATGGCTTATTACCTTCACTGGAATCATACTCACTTATATCTTCTACCGCAGAGGTCTCAGGTTCGTTCAATGATTCTGAATTTACACTTTGATTATCACTCGGATTATCGAAAGTCACGCTAACTGCACGAGTTGAACTATAGAATTCTCCTTGGTCATCCCCTAATGGTCCTGTAGAAACCTTTAAAATCTGAATTGAATGCCCTGAATCAATTATTAACAGGCCGGGATAACTTAAGGATATCAATGGATCGAAAATGGGAGCGGGCAAAGACAGTGTTATAAAATAGTGTTGTGCAAATCCGTGTTTTAGGCACCAACCTCTGTGCTCCAATTCTGAAATATGCTGCTATAGAAAATTTTAAGTCAGATTAAATTATTAGACATACCCTCGGGTAGTGGAGCTGGATCGGAGCAGTGTCTACAGTTAAGTGATCCATCCAATGTAACAAGTGAAATTTGCAGAGATTCTTGACCAGCTTCCCTAAAAAAATGTTCAAACTTTTTTCACTGATTAATTAATGTCCACCCTATCAGAGAAATCATGTATCTTTATCAATGGAGAAATCTATTACAGTAACCTCTTATTTTTTTCTATGTTTGTTAAAATAGGGTCAAAGTATTTTTAAACACGAATCCTCCCAAAGATTGAGGCTTCTCAAAGTATGAAAGCGTACAAACGACAAAAATCCCCATCTTATAGAAAATTAACAAAGTAGCAAGCAAAGTAGCTTCACTAGTGACAGAGTTAAAGTCTTTGACATATTTTTTCCAAATTTTAAAAGATGTTATTTTTTACGCCACCATTTCAAGTATTTTTCTTGGTATGGTATATAATAGTTTTGTCATATGTTAGGTAAAACGCTTGGCAAAACGTAACATAATTTATTAGTGTAAATATCATCAGTGCAATGTATGTACATACATCAATAATGAACCGAAATTAAAAAAAAAAAAAAACAATACACTAAACTCTATAAGTTTACATCAAAATCAAAGGACATATAGGTACTTGCCAAAATCATAAAAGCTATTGCTCATTAAGGATCTTTCAAAGTTCAAAAAGAGCATGCTTACTTTTAATTAGTTTACGCGAGGGTTTGGGTAAAACCAAGAGTAAAACATAAAAAAAAACCTTATACTTAGCCCAGTACACCTATTGAGCTGCCAGTACATGCCGCGGTACCGCGTTTCACTGTTGTGTGTACCTGCAGTGTTTTGTACAAACTGATGTTTTTTTCTTATATGCAAAAGGTATTCAAAAATATGCAGAGATCGCAAGGTGTGTATGCCCAATCTGCACATCACTCTAACGCTAAATAGATGACTGGCACCAGCTGCTTGGCAAAGTATGTTGTTGTAAATACTTGTCAGGTATGGGCTTAAATCTAATCAGTATCTGTGAAGAAAAAAAGGATCCAATGAATCGAGCAATGAATTGGACATTTTAAAGTATTTGAATTTAGATGCATTTTTTTTTCAAATATGTACGTCCAATTCATTGGATCCTTTTTTTCCCATACAGGTACACTTGATCCCCGCCAAATCCATATAAAATTAAATTTTTCGTTAAAGATTACGCAGCTCAATAAAATGGGTACATTAAAATGCAAAAATCACATGTATTTTGAATGGAAAACTCGGTGGCAAGATGCAATCAACGTAGAACCTTCTATGAGGGCTTAATTTTATTTTTTTTTTATTTAGAAACATGTCAGGTGGCGGCGCAATTGAAATTCGAAAGTAGGGTAAATAAGAACCACCCTAATAGATACAGCACCAACCCTGAAACCATTCAAACTAACATAGGTATTTTATGTTTTATATATTAAATCTGCTCGTGGATTGAGAACTATAAGTTTAAGGATGGGTATTCCCATAGATGTTATTGATTATGGGCATTTGCATGGAGTGTTAAAGTTGCCAAATTTGGAAGTTGAAAGGACTCACTTTGATGTGCTTATTTTGTGTAAGATTGTAAATGGCATAATTGATACCCCTGAATTGCTAAGTAAGTGATGTTAATAATAGAGTAACCCTTTCTCATGACTCCTTAGCAATAGATTTTCATAGAACTAGCTATGGGTTGAATAGTCCTATGTCCAAGAATAGGTGCATAAATTTAATAATAAATAATAACATGAATGTGAAGTGGCAAGACCGTTAATAAATAAATTAAATTAAATATTATGCGAGTCCCTACTTGAATAAAGTAAAATTGTAGAATAAAACTATAAACTAGGTTCTTAGATATATGACTTTAGAAGAAAAATTGAAATACTTACTTGTCTATTCCAACACAAACAAGCTTATGATAATCATTTGGATACTGCATGAACATTATCTGCTCCAAAGAATAATTTCCATTAAACTGATTAAATATCTGAATAGTTTGCGCCAGTTCCAATTTCATGCCTGGTATGAACCTCCAAATAAACAAGTGGTATATTGTCTTCAGAGAAACCTCATGGGTTTCTTCGAAAGTTAAGAAGAATCGTCCGCATCGAGTAAATCCCATCAGAATCTGGAATAGGCTATACAAATATCATTATTAATTTGTAATATTACTTATTAGTACAAGCTGTCCAGGGTTTGTCAATAACTTGTGACACCCGCCTGGAGCTTGAGTATTTTTATTTTATTTATTAAGTTGCATACATTGTCATTCCCTACATCATCTTTCAGTCTAATAGACATATAAATCAAATTCTTTTTTTTCGCCTGAATACAAGATATACATATATGTATTCAATTGCGCTAAAAAAAAATATTCCAAGAATCCCTAGTGAGGCATGTAAATTACTTGAAGCCTGTATTTTTGTTGTGGAAGTGGCAGGCACACGAGAAATTCAGACATTTTACATGCACATTAATACTATTTAAGGTGTACCAACTTGCCACTAAATGTCAAAACTAACATTCTTTTTATTGAAATTGAAAAAATAGTCCATTTTCTTATAGTGGAGCTTTGTAAATTACAAAAAAAAAAACTTCAGTCTTCTCCACTAAATTTTATTGTTTCTTTGTTGGAACACTACTAGGATATGTTTCGGGATTATAAGAATCCCATCATCAGCTGAAACAATTACAAAGGAGAACCTAGAGTTTGACGTTTGTGACTTAATATACATAAAAAATATCACTGAACATTGTATAAATAGATATAAACTTAAAGGCTTACCCAGAAATTATTCCGAAACACACTGTTCACCCTTCCATAGACTGTTTTCCATACCATTGAATCAAGATAACTTCAGAAAAGAATACTTACATATTAAACAAATAGTGGTTAGCAATAGTTACCCGCTATACATATTCAACAAAACATTTTATAAACATTTCAGAAAACACATAAATAAAAAACTACTTCTACAATCAAAAGATAAAACAGAAAATATTTACTGTAGCCTACCTTTTTATGGCAACATATCTTACAAAATTAAAAATATTCTCCAGAAAAGCCAAGAAAACTTGACAGTATCCTTTAAAACTCAATACAATTTAAGAACGTCACTTTTCAATGGTAAAGATAAAATATCTGATAATCTTGAGAAATCGGGTGTCTATCACCTCTCCTGCAACCAAGGGGATTGTAGGGCGGTTTATGTAGGAAGAAGTGGCCGCAAACTGGGTACTAGAATAAAGGAACACCAAGCAATAATTAATAGAAACAAAAATAGAAACTGTAGTATTCCACTTGACTCGTCCTCAACATTTGTGAACCATATTATTAATGAAAATCATGAGTTCAACCCAGAAACGGGTGTCAAACTTACAAAAGTTTGTAACTTCGGAAATAAGTTGAATTTGCTTGAGATATCAGAAATTAATAAAGCCTTGAAAGATCCTGAGATTAATTGCATAAATGATCAAATCTAATTTGATTGTCTCTTTTTTTTTATTCATTAACTTTTTAATCACCTAATTCCAAACTCCATCTATGTCATAATTTCAATTCAAATAATTTGAATGGTACCTAAAGTACCCTTTTCAAAGAAAATACCAGACCTTGAGTATTCACGGCTAGATGGAGCTAATATATTGTTAATAACAAATTGGTTCTACCAGTGGAGTGTCAACAATGATAATAATTAATATTAAAATGGTCATAAAATATAAACTAATCATGATTCACAGTTTTCTACTTTGTTGTTCACTATCCAGATTTTTGCCTAGCCTATTCCGACTTCCTAATAGTAATAATTGGATCTCATAATTATATTACAAATGATAAGTTTATAATAATTTGTTGATATCAGATGCACACTATCGCTACTTCCCTGGGTTCCCGATTGTTGTTTTATGCTGACAGCTCAGCTGATAATTATTTCTTAGGTTTGGATATTCAGACTCTTCAATTTTCGTCCATCCTAAAACGATATAAGGAATGTGGTTTTTTAAGGCGTGGAGGAAGAAAAGACGTAAAAGCCCCTAAAGGGCCACTAAACAATTAAAAATAAAAATAAATAATTAATTTCTTCTCCTGCTTTAAAAACTTGTTAAAATTGGGGATTCACTACACTCCATACCTACCGATTTTCTCCTTACAAAAATGGGTAGTTTTAACCCTTGAAAGGTGTACAGTGTGTTTCGGAATAATTTCCGGGTAAGCTTTTAAGTTTATATCTGTATACAATGTTCAGTGATATTTTTTATGTATATTAAGTCACAAACGTCAAACTCTAGGTTCTCCTTTGTAATTGTTTCAGCTGATGATGGGATTCTTATAATCCCGAAATATGTCCTAGTAGTGTTCCAACAAAGAGCCAATAAAATTTAGTGGAGAAGACTGAAGTTTTCTTTTTGTAATTCTTTTTTTTTTTTTTTTCGTTTTAGCAAGATTAGTTTGTCAAGTAATAGTTAACTACTTTTCTGTGATATTGTCGTAATAATTATTCAATCCTAATTTTTTTTTACTTTTTCATGTTCTTTATTACCTAGATAATAATACATTTTTACCGAAATTTGATTTGTACAGGGTGGCCCAAATTTGAGCCTCATCATTGGGATCTCGGTGACCGTAAGAGATATGGGGTCAGTTAAATTATGGCAAAGTTGCACAATTTTATGACCAATGGAATGCCGTTTTGAAATTAGAAAGATTCCGAATACTTCCGGAGATATTCGGAAAAAAACCGAAATTTTTTAAAATCGTTTTTATTTTTTTCCGGGCTTATTTGAAGAGCAATTTTAAAATAAAGGTCACTTCATTGTTGTCACTTTTTCCCCTTTAGAAGATGGTGCTACTAAATTTAAAATCCGGCGTTTCGCCTTCAGGCGGCCATCTTCAACTTACTTTTTTCAAATACGGACCTGGATTTTTTATTTGCGATACTGTTTAGAATTTTTCAATAACACAGTAAAAAAAGCAGGTCCGTATTTAAAAATAATAATTTGATGATGATTCCAGAGGAACGAAACGTTGGATCTTAAATTTAATACGCCCATCTTGTAGAGAAGAAAAAGTGACAATAAGAATGTAGGGTTGGCAAATGACCGGTCAAATATCTTTCGTTCAATTGACCTAGTATTTGACCGGTCATTTGTCAAATTGCTCTGGTCAAATACTCCGATAGTGGGGAGCGTGATGCTATGACGGTAGCATTATTGCATCCATTTATTCCTGGTTTAGCCGCCAGGTATTACATAACAAGGGCAAATACTCAAAGAAAGAGATAGACAAGATTTTTAATTGTTTATTTTGAAATATTTACCTGAAACTCCTGAAAGTTACATTTTCAAGACCGGTTTATTCACCTTCTGATAAACTCTCAGGTATGCAATCTAGATAAAAACGCAATCTGTAATCCCATTGATCGGCAAGTTATCCGCTGACCAATAGAATTATAGAATGGTACATTAAGCATCAGATAGTCAGCAGCAAGTTTAGCTCAAGATGAATAAACCAAGCCTTAATGGTTTTGTTTTTTGTTTCATAATAAAAAGTGTCGATTTTGTCCTTTTTACCAATGGAAAGAAGTTTTGTTTGTTTCATTTTCTAGAGCTTTGCTTTATTTTTTATACCTGCTTTTGCAGGTAATTTTTTTTTAATTGGTCAAATTGATTTGGTCAAATATTCTAGCATCGGTCAAATTGACCGTCAATTGACAACTTTTGACTGGTCAATTGAACAAAGTGCCATCCCTATAAGAATGTGAAATTAGTTTTTCAAAATCTCTTTTAATGAAATCAGAAAAAAAATTGAAAAATACGAGAAATTCATGTTTTTTTCGTATAGTTTTGATTTTTTCCCGATTTTATTCAAAAATATTTTGAAAAACTAAATTCACATTCCCACTGTCACTTTTTCTTCTCTACAAGATGGCGGTATTAAATTTAAAATCCAACGTTTCGTTCCTCTGTCATCATACTAAATATATATATTTTTTTTAAATACGGACCTGCTTTTCTTAATGTGTTATTGAGAAATTATAAACATTATTGGTTTTAGGATGCCCAAATATCACAAAATCGCAAATAAAAATTCCAGGTCCGTATTTAAAAAAAGTAAGTTGAAGATGGCCGCCTGAAGACGAAACGTCGGATTTCAAATTCAGTAGCACCATCTTCTAAAGGGGAAAAAGTAACAATGATGAAGTGACCTTTATTTTAAAATTGCTCTTCAAATAAGACCGGGAAAAAATAAAAACAATTTTACAAAATTTCGGCTTTTTCCGAATATCTCCGTAAGTATTCGGAATCTTTCTTATTGCAAAACGGCACTCTATTGGTCATAAAATTGCGCAAGCTTGCCATAATTTAACCGACTCCTTATCTGTTACGGTTACCGAGATCCCAATGATGAGGCTCGAATTTGGGCCACCCTGTACATGAAATGTTTAGGTTCATGACAAATAGCTTATTCGCAATTGAAAATGTTTAGGTTATTGAAGATGATAGAGTATTTCTACATTGATGATAATCCCTTTAGGATAAACAGCTGGTGCAACTCTACATGAATAGTGGTGCCTGGTAGTACATTGTATGAGAATTATAAACCCTGTATATTTCACATCCTAATAATAACATATTCAACTTCCCCACAACATTTCAAAAAGTGAGAGTGAAATCCAAAGGATGTGAAATCGCACAAAACAAGAGCCCAAGAGTACAAATTTCATGGTGAACCAAAAATTAACAACAATTTCTCACTGGCTGCCATTCCGAGGAAACTAGTGATATTGTATATGTGCAACTGAAAAATGACTACTACAAATACTACAATAACAAAACCCGATCATCTGCTCATAAATCTAAAACAATGTGGTACGGTAGGTGTGCAATTAAATAGGAAGATCCTTATTTGTAAAAATGGGAGAAAATGGCTCTGAAAATGGTTAATCTATGGGCAAACAAAAATTTTTGGCAATAATCACGGCAGTGAGAGTAATGATTTTAGAAATTGTGGGCATTGAATAGATAAATAAGGGAAATCAGAGCAGTGACTGCAGAATTGACGGCATTGAATTGATTTCGGAATTGACGGGATTGAAGTCAGGACAACATTGATGTCGGAATTGATGGCATTGTGTCGGAATTGGCGGCATTGTTGACATTGATGGCGACGTTGTCGGCATTGACAGAAATGTTCGCAGCAATCATCATAGGCATTGACTAGGCAGTGTTATTAAACATTGCCTAACTTTGGCAGTGGTGTACACATTTTTGGGTAGGTGAAACACCCCTTGTTTGATACACAATGACAAAGTTTCAATAATCAGTGCAACATACTAACTTTAGCAAATTAAACAGAGACTGGACATTCTTGCAACTCATAGGTTCGAGAGAAGCATATCTACGATTTCTTTCATTATGTGGAAAAGAGTTTCCTGGGTAGGTATATAATTGCTGTTCAAGAGCAGAAGGTTGGTACAAGACAGTCATAAGCATAAAACATTGAAAAAAAATAAATAGTAACTTCCTAAAATACTCACCCTCCACTATCAGCAAATATGTCATTGATGGCATACCTGCAACGTTCAGGTATTTCTCGGAAGGGTCTCACTGTTTTAAATTTGGGTCCCTTGGTAAATCTTCCATACAACTATAATGCAAAATTTGTATTCAGAGGCAAATGTAAAATATAAAACTCACTTCTCTATTGTATAAATTGCTCACGATGTTTGGAACCGAACGGTCGTTGTCAAGGTAGTCGTCTTCATATTCCATCAGATCACTAAGGTCAGTATCCCTAGTTTCAGTCTCTGAGGGGTCTGAGCTGAAAACTGTAGCTTCAGAGTTCTCAGAATCTGATGATTCTGCTTGTGATTCTGTTAGTAGTATCATCTCTCCAACTAATGAAGTGCCACTTGGCGGAGAGGCCATTATAACACAAACTAGAACGTAGAACGACCCCTTACCAACAAGCAACAAGCCTCTTCGTTTGTACAATTTGAACTAAAACTACAACTTAAATCTAAAAGGGGAAAGGGAATAGTAAAAATTGAAATGTCATAAATGTCAATATTCGAATAGCGCTTTCGAGCTTTTGCCTCAGAAGTGCACCCGGTTGATCAAAAAGCGATCCGAAAGGGATTCACACGTTCGGCTTGAAACTGAGCGTTGCTTTCGGCGAGATTCAGGTATTCACGGAGCGCTCTTTCTTGCTCTGGCAAATTCGATGGATCAAAACGTATTAAGGCCGGGTATTATAAAACTGCTTTGACAGTTAACTTGAAATTAACTTTTTGAATTACATGTAATTTCAGAAGTTAACTTCAAGTTAACTCTCAAAATAGTTTTATAATACCCGCCCTAAGTCCGTTCGGCTATTGATTTCAAATGGTGTGCCCTCGTTTGGTTAATAATCGCTCTCGGAGCACTCCCGCAGAGATCTGTAACGTCACTGCCCAGACGGGGAGCGCTCCTGGGAGCAGTAAGGGCGGGTATTATAAAACTGCTTTGACAGTTAACTTTTTGAATTACATGTAATTCCGGAAGTTAACTTAAAGTTAACTCTCAAAGTAGTTTTATAATACCCGCCCTAAAAGAGAAAATGCTAAAAGACAGTAAAGACACTGAGACATACTTTCTGGTAGACGCGCATTTGTCAGCTAGACGCTAGACCGAACGGATGAAAATTATTATTTGCCTTATTTTATGAGATAAAGCACACATACGGATCGTACACATCGTAGAAACTGAATTCCGTTCAGTCAGGAATAGTCAGGATTAATTCAAAAAGATGAAATCTATGAATGCAAAGCACGCGGATGACGTCATTCGCTAATTCGCTCATATTCCCGACAAGCATCAACAGGAACCTGCTCATCGTAGATGTCATATTTCTCTTTCCGTCAACAACATTTTTGTGCACGGGTTAAATACAGATGCAACTTACAATGGATGACGGATTCATAATAACTTTGGTACGGTAGTAGAAGAAATACAGATAAATACGGTAAGCAAGTCCGAATATAAGGTCTGTTTCTGCAAAAATCACAAACCAGTCAGAACGAATTTCATTGGTTGATAACAGTCAGTAACAGTCAGAAAACTAGTTTCAACCAATGAAATTCATTCTGAGTGGTTTGTGATTTCTGCAAAAACCGACCCAATAATAAGTTGCGATGATAAAAAAAAAAAAAATATTACGATTCGTTCGATGCGTCCGTTGCGACCGATACGCACAAAAGTTCATTGCGTACAAAACCGCGTTACAGGCGTTCTCGGCCCATCTGGTAGGTAGGTAAAAACCGCTTTTTGTAAGTAAGTTAAGCTGATTAACCAATTATTTATACATACAGGGTGTTTCAGAAATGGTGTTACAAACTTCAAGGGCAGATAGTATTCATGAAAATAATTTTAAAAGTTCCTATGGATATAGGTCCGGAAACGCTTTGTTTCCAAGATACCAGGGTGAAACGTTTTTCAAAAAAAAATAGTTTTTTATTAATAGCCCAAAAGAGCTTTAGCCGATTTCAATGAAATTTTCACGGTTTATTTCAACCATTATCAGACATCTACTGGACCAATTAGATTTGATCCAGAATTCCCAGGGGCGTACCCAGCGACCAAGTCGGTTGTTTTTGTGCAGAAAAAAATATCACTCTGTAGTTTTTGTACGATTTTTATTGATTATTCAGATAGACACACTAAAAATACAACATTTTGGTCTCTTAAATTTTTCAATTGTCTCGCTTCGTTTTCGCGGAAAAATTACAATACCATACCTCGAGCTCCATAAGAAAAAATAAAAATGCTTAGGAATTGATTAAAAATTTATCGGAGTTGTTGATTTATGAAAACAAAACAAAACAAAACAAAAAAAAAAACTCACAATTTATGTCCTTGTCACTCAATGAATGGGTGATGTACCTTAATTCCTATGAATTTTTATCTATCTTTATGGAGTCCAGAGACGTGCCGAGGTATGGTATTGTAATTTTTCCGCGAAAACGGAGCGAGATAATTGAAAAATTTAAGAGACAAAAATGTTGTATTTTCAGTGTGTCTATCTGAATAATCAATAAAAATCGTACAAAAACTACAGTGATATTTTTTTCTGCACAAAAACAACCGACTTGGTCGCTGGGTACGCCCCTGGGAATTCTGGATCAAATCTAATTGGTCCACTAGATGTCTAATAATGGTTGAAATGAACCGTGAAAATTTCATTGAAATCGGCTAAAGCTCTTTCGGGCTATTAATAAAAAACTTTTTTTTTTTGAAAAACGTATCACCCTCTGTATCTTGGAAACAAAGCGTTTCCGGACCTATATCCATAGGAACTTTTTTAATTATTTTCATGAATACTATCTGCCCTTAAAGTTTGTAACACCATTTCTGAAACACCCTTCAAAATAATACGTAAGTTTGAAGCTTCAGCCCAATTCGTTTGGTTGGTGTTGTCGATTTTTGGAATCAAGGTCATATGGTGGTGCACCGTTGTAAACGTCTTCGTTAGCTATTTGCGCCAGCGGTCGTAGTTTAGAATATACATTTATGATGAAAAATATTATTTAATTTTGATTACCAATAGGCAAAGAGCTAGGAAGATGCAAACGAAATCTAAAGAAGGGTTGTTTTAGAATGTTAAATTAATGCACTAAAACCAACTATGCATAAAGGAAAAGTCAGCGAAATCATAGCATGTGGTGCAAACACCCTACGTCAAGGCGGGAAACGACGCGCTGCCTACGTCATCACTGGTATTGGCGTGTTGGGGGGCATGAGATTCAATGAATTGAGACTTGATCTATACAGGCCTTTGAGGATAGGCTATCTTCTGCAGTGTCTAATATCCTTGGGTGTTTCAGTAAATTTTTTCCGATTGCAATCGTGACACCACTACGGATGATATACCCTACACACACAATACTAGGATCATGACAAGTAGATTTCCACTAGAATTCTACTATTCTACTATTCTACTTTCATGATGTGGTTGCCTATTAACCATCATCATCGCCTGTACTGTATGTGATAAATAGGTCGCGGGTGACATCATGGAAGTAGAATTTTACTCGTTGTGATCCCAGCCCTGCTTTCTATCCGGCAAGTAGCCTCACATGAAGCTGCATGCGCTCCGCATGCCCGCCATGCAGGAATTTCCTCCAACCGTGAATGGTCAACATGGGCGAAGTTAGGGGGGGGCTTGGGGGGTCTAAGCCCTCCCAAAAACCGATTTAGCCCCCCAAAAATAATTCGCACTTCACCACACACACACATCAATTATCATACTTTAACTAATCTAGGTATGTGCATTTAAACATTTTCAGTTCAGTCTCAAATGTTAATGCCTAATTTGAGCCAATGCTGATGTTAGGAGATCGACCATGGGTCAAGATCGATTCAGTTTCTTAGCTCTTGCTAACATTGAAAATGGTATTACCAAATTCCTGATGTTAGATGATGTTCTGGAAGAATTTATTAAATCAGGAAATCGGAAGCTGTTACTTCAATAAATTTGTACAATAAATACTGTTGTATTTTTTAATAAATAGAATTTTTCATTTCTATTTTTCTTTCGGTGTTGATATTTATGGAACGTTGATTTTACAGTACCTACAAAATATGGGGTTCCGCCCTCCGTGCAATTAGGTATTTCAAAAAATCAGAATCCAAAAATACTTTACTTAAAAAATCACAACGCAATGTACTTATGTTTTTAACAAAAATAAACGATTGGATTATACCTAGGTATCCTTATTCTTGTTTTGCAGAGTTCCATGGCCCATTTTTCAATTTTTTATTTAGTTCAATATTACTTGTACTTTCAGAAATAAACAATAATTTGTTTATTTTTTGAAGGCTCAGAACGCCAAAAATCGTTCATTTTGTGGGTCGAAATGAAGGTTTTTGGGCATGGCACCCCAAAAATTGTCTTGACTCCGGCGGCCCCTATGGGCCTGGAGCTGTAGCCCCCCAGATCTGATGCCCTAACTTCGCCCATGATGGTCAACTGCATCGTAGGTCTTCGAAGCATCAAGATAAAGGCCAACCACCTTGAAATTCTTACATAAGACCCCGGTTCTGATGCTATAAATTTCTGGTCCAGTCGTCAGTCGAATATCAAGAAATAAATAAAAATCTATGCTTATTGAGAATATCAGATCTCACCAGTGACCAAAGATCTCCGACACAGATGGTATCATTGAGTCCGGTGGAACGTCAGGTTCCCCCTTTTAAATACCAGGACGAATCGCGCATCATCCGAGGTTCGAGCTAATAACATCTCTTTTTCAAAAATAGCGAGTTGTTTTCTGATCGAACATTGAACCCGTCTGTACGAAAATACGTGCATAAGTAGCCATATTGGTCAGATATATCGGTTATAATAATTATATCTGTATCTAATACATGCAGAAAATCAAGTTATTAAATATATGAAGTTGTGAAGCCCTTTGGAAACAGACTGTGGTATTACCATTAACCTGAGGCTCAAGGCCATACTAGAACCAAAACATTATAGTCATCAGATTGTGCATCTGAATATTGTTTAAAATAAAATCTCCGCAAATGATTAGCAACTTTTGATTACCAAACCGCTGATATAGAAGCTCAGATAAGTATTGCAATATTTGTATAGCACCAGTGGGTGAGCTGCAGATGCTTATTACAATCAAATGGTTGAAATATTATTTAAAACGTACTCAGAGATACCAAATTCAATGTCTTCAAGTGCTCCAAATTAATTATGGAAAATATGACAAGTCCGCCACTGCTTGAAGTAGATCAACCCAAATTATTGCTAAACAGTGGATACAGAATTAGGAAAAAAAATTCCCTGAAAAGCACTCTATAAAAATTTTAAAAAAATTCTTGGTCCAAAAGCATTCCTCATAGAGGGTGAATTCGTTGAAGCATCCGACTCAATGACTAATTATATTTATGTATTTATTTAACGAACGGGAAACCCCCATTACAAAAATTAAAGTTTACATTATGAGTACAGTAAAGGTTATGCCTACACATTCAATTTGATTAATTAGTTTAAATGCAATTATAAGCAAAAAAACTGTCATCAGAGAGGGGAAAAAACAAAACAGCAATATCAGATTGTACAAATTTACTGTTATATGATCCAATAAAGTACCAACATATAAATATACATTTTTGTAAAATTAAAAGTGTGCTACAGTTACAATTTACTTAAAACTATCACGTGATTTATAAAATACTATAAAAGGTAAAAAGACAGTTTAACAATAACATAAAACAATATAAATAAATATGTATAGCCTAACTATTAAGGGCCGGTTCGACAATTCAAGTATATCCTTAGTATAGGCTATGCCTAGCATAAAAGTTCATTTTAGCACTCAAAAATAAACTTTTATTGTAGGTATAGCCTATACTCAGGAATTGTCGAACTAGTCCTAAATATCGTTATGTTTCATGTTCATGGATTATTTTAACTGTCTAGATTTACGGTCTAGCATGGTCAGGAGCATGATAATGCTGCTGAGAACCCAACGAAGGATGAATTGGTGGCGGGAAGCATCTTACATGTTCAACAGACAGCTCGTCATTTTCTCCTGACTTTAGGAATTTATTTAGAACTGCAAATATTTGGGAATTTAATACTTGGAAACGACGAATTCTGTCACACATTCGTTTAAGATTCTAAAAGTAAAAGCAATAAACAAAAATGTTTATCAAAAAGTAAAACTAGACTTACGATTCTTTTGACAACTTCGTCTTTCATATCAACTCTTTGTACTCGAAGTATGTGATAGCAAAAATCTAAAGCTTCAAATCGTCTTTGTTGGCCAAGAAGTACTATCATAGTACAACCAGCCCAATGGAGACCTTCTCCAAACATTTCTCTGTAAAAATTAAAAAACATAACGCAATTACTTGATATATCAGAAAACCATATTGGGAAATCTATTGACTAACCCTCTTGCTTGCTCTGTACTATGTGTGAAAGCTAGCGCCTGTCGATTGTGTTCAAAGTTATTAAACAAAGTTTAGCGTTTTTAAGTCAAAATCAAAATTTTAGAGCAGATATGCTTAAATGTTCACCTATCATGTTGAAGGCATTCAAAACGAGCGGTTCTGTAACTGTACTGATAAAATAATCAACTTTGCTGACAAATCCCTTTTTGTGAACTGCTGCTGATTATTCAAAGAAGTACTAACTTATGCTAACCAAACTCCACATGTGCTTCATAAATTGGCCAAAGTTTTACATTTTGTTAAAGGTACAATCTAAAATTTCTTTGGTACTTTTTCTCTTCCTTTATCTTCATGTTGTTTAGTTTTCTTGAGGTCTAAATGGTTTGGAAGTTGGACCTTTTATCAACTAAATTCAAATTTGAATAAAAGTCAGGTTAGGCAAGTGTTACTAAAAAGTCACATTTTTCCTGCCCTGAATTTCTTAGCCTGTCCGATTCGCGATGTTATCCAAGTTTGAAAAGGGAAAACCATGCTGGAACGCGGTTTTCGGTTTTACATTTTTAAAACGAAAAAACCCAAGCAAGAGGGTTGGTATTTGCTGCATGAAAAATGGCATAACAAAAAAAGTTCCCTACTCCACTGTGTATTCATTTTCGCTAACAGGAATGCAATATACAAATTGTAGAGCAGACCAGAGCCTATGAAATTCCGTACATTCATCTACGTTCATAACTCCATTAGCTGGGGGTGGTCCAACCCAAACTGGATCATCTAGAAAACTTCTTAATCTATTAAGGACCACTTCAAAAATTGATAGCCCACAGCATAGTCGTTCTCTTGTCAGTAGATCACCTTCTCTGGATATCATAGCTTGCTAAAAATATTTTTTTAATGTAAAATTTTTGGAAAAAGAAAAATTCAGAACTTACTTTTGCGGTACCTAATTTTTCAATATTAGGCACAATTTGTAGAGCAGCATATTTAGCTTCCAGCCTTTTTTGTTTGGTTTCAAGCTTTTCACCTTCTTTACAAAAAGGTCTCGGTAATATGTTTTGGAATGGCGCCGCTTGCAGTAAATCGCAAACTTCTTCTTGAGACAAAGCTTGTTCCATAAGCAAACAAAAAAGTATAATATTTCCGAACTCCCTGAAGTTGTGAAACAATTCGGTCCTAGCGTCGGGATACTGGACAATATCATGAAGTTGTGCGTGGTAGTATCCCAAAACGCCTGGCGAACCGTAATCATATCTTGGAAGTTTGCAAATTTTTGGCATAGCTTCCATTAATGTTTTAGTAAACTGTAGAAGACTTCCCTGGATAAGACTTTTGACGATTTTTAGCAATTCTTCCATTACAACAGCTATACCTTGATATCCCAATAATTTACACATGGTATGGAAATGCTGAGGTCCAACAAATCCTGAATATTGACTGTATTGACTTGTGTATGCCAAATTTAGTTGCTTTGTCCCCCAGAGATAATGATGAGACATTTGTGGAGGCCTATCTCGACTAACTGCTTGGGAGAAGGCTATACCCCGATATTTAGTGAACCTAAAAATATTTTATAAAATAATATTGAATAAAATGTTTTGATGGCGCTAATAATAAACTGACCTGTTAGTTGCAGCATTATAAACATAATTAGGTAAAAAGTCATAGTTAAGTTCCCAGAAGACATGAAGAGTGATTCGGCCATAAGGTGCCAATACATTATGATTGGCTTCTCTGAACATTGAATCAAAATCATCCAAGGCTAGCCATTTACTGAGCAGCTTATGGCAGAGTCTATTGACCTAAGAAAAAGATGTAAACTTTTAAAAACAGCACCTATGACATTTTATTGACAATTATTTTTAAAAAGATTCAGGAACTTTGATAGTGTAGTAATGTAGTGAAGTACTTGGTAATTAGGAAATTATTTCAAGTGCTCGCCCTTTCAGCAATCCCTATTTTGACAGCCTTAATGAAGATAAGGATTGGCGTGATTTAGGAGAAAATGAGATCATATGAGCCATTGTTTAAAGAATTCATGAATTTTATGAAATGAGCCTATTCGCCCTATACCCACAAAAATTTCGATGTAAACGGCCAGTCGTTCGTTCAACTGTCAAGTAATTTCAATTCGAATTGGAATTGAATGTAAACATAACATAATTCTCAACATTGGCAACTCCAGAAAAATAACTTAAGACCCATGTTTTCAATTAATTATTGCAAAGGTTATTCGAATAATATAAAAAATTATGTCCAGTTTTATGTTTGTAAATTCTTGATTATTTTTTCTTCCTCAAAAAAAAAAATCGAAATTACTTACTTGCAATAATCCATCTAATTCAACAACGCCAGTTATATCACCGGCTTCAAATTTACTTATGGCCAAATCCAAAGACTTTTGCATATCAGCATTTATTCTTTGAGTAATCAATTTATTCAAATCAATAGATCTACCTAATAATTGCACGTGTCTCTGCTTTAATAGGGTTTCATATCTATTTGCTCTTGGATAGGGGAGTAAATACGCTCCAATCGCTGAACATTCCACTCTAAATCTTTTATCCAAGAATATACTAGAAAATATATACAAATGTGAGAAATAATTAGGTACAAAAATACTAGGACATATTTTACCTTGCTGCCAACTGTTTATAATAAGCGAATATTTGTTCGCTTAGTTTGAACACAAACTGGTCAAAACACAAATTAACTTCCGCCTCTACTTCATCATATAAAAATTGCTTTCTAAATATCGTTAAAGCATATAAAGCACTGTCATTGTATAAATCCAAAGGGTATAAAACATATCTAACAAAAAGAGGTAAATTAAAAAAATTATAAAAATTAATTCAGCCACTCACTCCATCATTGAAGGTTCTTTAGTCTTCAAAATGTGATCTGTTAAAATCCAAGGCATCGACATATCAATAGGAAATTGAATTCTTTTTTCCATTGTAATCAAATCGTTACATTCTTCATTATGGTGATGTCTCACTGTACATTTCTAATAACAAAAAAAATGTTGAAATAAAATTAATCAAGACCAAATGACTTTTCTTTCATAAACCACTTGCCAATACCTGTAATCATTTGAATTTATCCAATCAAAATCCCCAATTCAATAAGGTAGAGATGTTAAACTTGAAATAATAATTTGATCTGTTCCAACTTACATTAATGCGCCTCCCCATGGTCATTTCAAGGTAGAATTCACGATACCATAATTGTGACAAATCACAACATTTTTGCAAATATTCACTAAAGCTAAGCAAATAATTCCAAAAAAAAGAAGTTTTGTGAAACTGATCAATTTGCACTAAGTAAGACCCATCAATATCCTTTCTCAATGTCTTTTTGCCTCCAGATTTTTCAGATATGAGACATTCTAGCATGGTTCTTACCATATAAAGCTGGGTAGAAGATGGACCTTGAATAAAATGAGTTTAATTGCTGAACAATTCAAGAAATATTTCAGTTAACATACCAACATTTCTTCTGGGCACCTTAAGATTAAAACCATTATCAGGATCTTTTTTTCCTTTTAAAGCTGGATCTTGGTTTGGATCTACACCTCTTAACCAATCAGCGCAAGTTTCTCTCACTGACATAATTATACTAAATAAAGAAAAAAAAATATCTTAGTTAGGTATTAGTGATACACTGCTTCCTTGGGCTTTATCGTAAGGATATTATTTTCAATTTCATGTTCATATTCAATATTCATAACAAATGAAATAGCTACCTTAATAAATAGCACTTGGTTAGCAGCAAAAATAATTTTCATAGTGGTTGTACTCTAGAAAAAAACATGACTTGTCCTTACAAAAGGCAAGTTAGTACTCAGAATAAAATCATTCTCCTCAGAAATAACGCTAGCCCAAAGCCACACCTAACTTCTACAAAAATATACTAAACGATTGGGACCAATGATAAAGGCTTAAAATTTCTAGGCAGTTCAGGATCATTGTTGTCAAGTCTTTTTGAAATTTGGGAAAACAAGTTAGCAATAAATATATTTATAATTTCAGTAAGCCTCACCAGTATTACGTATTTTACAAATTATGTTTAAGCTACATATACATATTTTCTTGAATTATTTTAAATTACATATAAGTAGAAATGTAGTGTGAGAATTTAACTTCACAATGCTACCTACTGCTGACATAGTATTGTTAGAATAGCTACTTCAACATGGAATTTGTAGCCATATAAGCCAGAAAAATTAATATAATAGAGCAAAATAAACTCTTATTTAAAAAAATCCAATCAACTTAAAATAGTAAATTATAGATACCTTCTAATAAGATCCTTCTTATTCTTCACAGCTTTCCTCAGTGGTTCTCTAAGAGAAAGCTGCACAAAATCTTGTAATTCTGCATAAATGTTTCTCCTTATAGCGTCAGTAAAAACTGTTTCCATCCTCGCCATTAATACTTGTAAACCTTTGATCATTGCTATGACTTCAATTAGTGCAAATTTTTCCTCTTCAGTGTAATTATATCTAGTTGCTCTTTCATATTCCTCAGCTTCTTTTGGGCACTCTTTATTCTGATGATGATCAGTTGGATGTAATAGCTTCCATGAATACAATTCAGTAACCACACTTGTCCATTCAGATAAAAGTTGTAGGCCCCTAAGGGCTAAATCTGCGGTTTCTTTATTTTCTGTGTCACTACCGCATTCTTTGTATGTAGTTGTAACTTCATTGGAATATCTGGCAAGTTCAGAAATATATTTAACATGGTCCTCACGGATTTGGGGTAAGTGAACCATCAAATCAGCTTGGGGTGATGGAGTTTGACTGCTTGAAAGTGGCCATTTGCTTGCATCAAAATGTTTACTTCTTTTTATGTAGTTAAAGGGAGCTATTTGCATGTCACCAAATAATGGCACAACTTCAAGATTCTGGTAAAAAAAATAGGAAAGTTTCTAGTTTATTGAAAATTGAAAATGCTAGTTATTACCTTAAAAATCCTATCTATTCGATCAAGCCTAAGCTTCTTTTTTTGATCTAATTTATTAATATTGCAAAGATCGCTATCCATTAAAAACAACCCAAATCCCATTACTTTAACAAGCATGTGCTTTTCACTTGGAGTTAGGTACATTTTTGATTCAAACATATGAACGCAAATGTTCACGACATCAGCCAACAATTCTTCGTAGTTGGGAATTTTTTCAAGATTTTCTTTAACAGTATCTCTGATTTTATTTTGAGTTGCAAGAAACATGGACAAGTTCTGTGATTCTTGTAATGTTTGAGAGTCTGACATCACTTTTAAGAACTGGGCCGCTCTAAAACATACATTAATTTTAATTAAAACATTCTAAAACTATGGTGCATTGGTAATAAACTCTATCCACACACCAAATTAATCTTGACAAAAAAAATTAGATTAGGGAAAGCTTTTACATTTATTCTTAGACAGGTAAGTCACCCTACTGATGATGGGAGTGGCAGGAAACATCTCAAACCCGCGGGAAGGTGGTTTTCAACGCTTTTTCAGCCGCCAAATGAATGGCAGTACAGCTAGTATCAATGCTTTGCTTGTGTAAGTATTTGCTAGCCAGCTGAATACTTTTTGAGTGCAAGAAATAAATAAAAACATAGTTTTAAGATGTGAACTGACCTTCTATAAGTTGAATAATCATTTTTAACACTGGATTTCATATTTTTAAGTTCATCCAATACTGCAAACATGTTTATAAATTTCCCCAGTGTTAGGAGATACGCTTCGGACACAAAGTCTTTCCTTTTCTCTGTGTGACAAAGACGCTTGACTTCTTGGGAAAATCTTTCAATTGCTTTTCTCTAGAAAATGAACATAACTCATTTGGAGGTATTAAAAAAATAATAATAAACCAACCTGAAAATACATAAAATTTAGCAATTTATTCACTTCAGGAGCTAGGACTTCCACAGTTTTTTCATAAATTTCAACTCTGTTGGGTTGTTCATTAGATTTTGGTTGAGGTATTGCTCGTGAACAGCATCTCCATGTATATAACATAACTGCATGTTCTTGACCTTCATCTAATAATTCATTCTAAAAAGGAAATAATGAAGGAAATTAAAAAAAAATTGCTGCTTATGTATGCATAGGTACAGAGCAAGGTAGGTACTAGATACAAAAGTAGGTACACATTATGAATATCCCTTTATGCTTTATTTTTTCAGGAAAAAAAAGTATGTCCTGAGTTCAGAGGCAGAGACCAAAGGAGCATAAAAAGTGTCCAATTTAAAAAAACAAACACTACGTTCTAACATGAGATTCATCAAGTTAAGCTCTGGGACAAAGATACCCCCACAAACAAGGCCCAACCAATAACTTTTTAGCGCACCCAAAAAAAAAAAAAATATATTGAAAAAATAAGATTTTGACAATGTTTTTTTTTTTCAGCACTCCCAAATTTAAAAAGGACCCATTTAAAATTATAGTTCGTTTGTCCATCGATTGCCCAAACATGATTATTGTTGGTAGAAAAGAAATAAAAATCAGGTGTGTCTTATGTTAGACATAGTATTAGTTAATAATAGTTAAGTTGTTAGAATAGCCTAGTTATAAGTAATGTTTATATGTTGATTTCAAGAAGCACAATATTTCAAAGTAGCAGTTAAATAATAATCAATCATTACTTGAAATAGTAACAATCTACTATTGAGAATTAAATAATAATCAAATATAATTCGGCCAAATAAATTATCCTGGTAGAGATGACTCAACCAGGATCTATTTGAATTATAATTTCTTTATCTAGTTTTTGTTGTATGCCAAACGTTTTTGTTGGAATGTGGCGTGATGATAGTATTGATGATGTGGAAGGGAAAAAGAAAGTGAGTCAGTGCTTATTAGCATATCAAAGGGTTCACTTTAGATTAAAATAAATTTAGAGTATTAGATATACTTACCAGTTTTATTTGTGAGTCCTGAATAATTCAATAACACTTAGTTGAAATATGCAAAAATTCTATATGAAAAATTAGCAAATGTCTAGGCTCCAGCATCAGCATCACACTATCTGAGAAAATCAATATTATGTGTTTGGTTTACCCGTCCTATGGCCCATTTCTAGTTCAATTTTGAAGTGTAGCAACATGGGCAAACGAACTGTTATTTTAAATTGGTCATTGTCAAATTTATGGGCGCTGAATAAAAAAATTGTCAGAATTTTTTTTAGATAGGTATCTTTTTTTTTGGAGGGGGGGGTTAAGGTTGGACATGGGCATACATGAACAAAATTTCGTTGGTAGGGGTGCCTCCATCCCAGAGCTATCAAGTTAGCATCAGCTACAAAGTAATTGACTTAGTCATGCATAAGAAAAAACTTGTACCTAAGTGTACTTCATAACTACTTCTTTGTAGTTAGGTAATTAGTTTCGAAACCGAAGAATTTATAACTACAACTTCTAATGGAAATGCAGTAAAATAACTTTGGCACAGCACAAATACCAAAAAATGGGGAATTATATAAAATGGAAAATTTATAAATACAAACAATACAGATTAAAATTAATTAAATGAAATATTCAAATCCAATCAAATCAAAATAAGCTTTATTATCTTATAAGACAATAGTCTTGTTGACAACGCATAATGTAATTGAAATAGTTTTTTTTTTCTATTAAAAATTAATGTACTTATCTGACCGGCCTTTGTATTTAGGTTATGCTACAATTAGAAATTTATATAGAAAAATATATATAATCCTTGATATAAATAAGACATTAAATTTGCGTGCAAATGGTAGGTAAAATGGAGCAAAAACTGATTAGTTTTAGCTTGAAAACTGCCGGAGATAAAAGATCTTCAAAGCATTCTATACATGCCTTTATGCGTTTAACGTGAAACTCATAAATGAAGCCATTTAAAACTTCAAATACTAGCATTATTGACAGCAAGTGATTTTGTTGAACAATTTATATTTTGGTCTCGAGTTTGGTTTTGTTACAACGATCTATTATTAAAAACTGCAAAAATCAGCAGTACAGGTAGACATAGACTATTATAGATTTGATTAAAAGAAGCAAGAACTGCTGCATTCAACTACAGGCTGGGTCCCTTCTCCCTTCAGACAACATGAAAAAAATTGGGGCTAACATAAAAATTAGGAGCTTCTTGCCGTTTGTTCCTTTGATTCAAAAACTAAGAACCACCTTAGTTTTTAATGTATAGAGTATAGACACCAAATTCATTAATGAACAAGTAAAATAGCTATATTTAGCATTATAAATTCAAGATTTGCAAGTAAAATTTAAGAGAATATGTTATCAATTGTCCCCAACTTTAGAGTATGTTCTAGAATTCGAAAATATCACAGAGAATATCAAGGAAAAACTTCGGGAAAAACAATGACTTTCGTTTCCTAAACATGGTAATAGTGGTGGTCTTGGTGGTGGTAAGATAATGAAACTTAGATCGACACTCTGTTGGGTTTTCTCAGATAAAAAAAGGTCAGGGATCGACCGATACGTTTTTTTTTTAAAAAACCGATATTGCCGATACCGATACGATATGGATTTATAGAAGGCCGATACCGATATAAGGCCGATATATATTTATCTGTTTTCTCCAACCTTTTCCTTTGGTTTGAATGTTTTATTTGTTCTCTCGCACCTTTTCCTTTAGTTTGAATGTTTTATTTATTTGTTTTCTCCTAGTTTTAATATTGTTTGTTCGAGTTCAGATGAGCAGAAAGTTTAGTTTTTTTTTTTTAATAAATAAATAATTTTGAATTTGAGTTTAGATAAGCAGAATGTTAAGTTTTTTTTAAAAATAAAAACCTAATTAATTTAAAATAAATTAATGAGAAACAATTTCTAATATTTACTTTTTTCTTAGTCACTCCCATATGTACCAACCACAATTATTAGCTCTTTTAAGCTTCAAAAAAGCCTTAGTGATGATTACTGATCTTCAAAATATGATTTGTATCGGTCTAAAGTTATCGGCCAATGAAGGGCCGATATGCCGATACACCGATATACCTGAAAATGGCCGATACGCCGATATACCGATATGCCATATCGGTATCGGTCGATCCCTGAAAAAGGTTGTCTATCATCCTCGCTCTCATCTGATCGTTTATTACGTGTAAGAGGCATGAAGAGTGGATCACAAACCAAATGTCCCAAAAGAAATAGAAGGGGCGAGAGAAAGGGCAATATTAAGACAAGAGCAAATAAAAAAACAACAAAAAGAAGACATCTTTTTAAAAAAGTAGAAATTAATTAAATGAAACTGAAAGCGAAACAGAGGTATCAACGAGGGTATCAACAACTGATAATGGAACAAAGAGTGAGTTTGAAAACGATGATTTTGATGATGTTTTTTTGGAAGATAAAACTGAACAAGATAAAAAAAATGTTACCAGAGACATTACACCAGAGATTGAAAACTAATATGCAGTGGCGTATGCTGACATGTTATCCATGTATTGTAACACACAGCAAACGGACTGGGGTGCGATTTTCGAAACCATTCGAGTACATTTCGTACACGAAATTTGACTGACAGCAATGTAAATTAAATGGGGAGCAGTCAAATTTCGTATACGAAATGTACTCGAATGGTTTCGAAAATCGCACCCCTGGTGTAGCTATCTACCATTTATAACATTTGCGTATAATACAGCAATACAGGACACAACGAGATTTAGCCCATTTATGTTAACATATGCAAGGGAACCCACACTACCAGCAGAAGCTGCATTGTTGGACGCTGACAACGAAACGGACGCTCTGCAAATTAGAGAAAAGGCACTCTTAATAAGAGCCATAGCAGTAGAAAATATACGAAAAAGACAAGGAAAAGATAAGGGACGTTTTGACGAACGACATAGAGAATTAGATTTCGTAGTTGGAGACAAAGTTAAGGTGTTCATACCAATTAGAAAGGTTGGAAGAAGCGAAAAATTGCTCTTAAGATGGTTTGGACCATACAAAGTGATTAGAAAAATGGGAGAAGTGAATTACGAGGTACAAAAGATTGGAAGCAGAAAAAAGGATACGGTCCACGTGAGTAGGATGTTACCCTACTAAGATCCATGGACAGAAGCTGCACCTATTGAAGAAAGGGCAGATGAGACAGATATAGCTGAAAACGCAGAATCTAAAGTTGATGAAAATGAAGACGACGAAGAAAAAATTGAAGAGGAAATTGAAAGCAGTGAAGCAGAAAACGAGGAAGAAGAAGACTGATTGTACAGATAAAACATAAGCAAAACTATGAAGTAGGGAAATAGGAAGTAGAGATAGGATGAAAAAATAGAGTAAGACATAAAATAGAGTAAACAAGGAGGGATGGAGAGGAATGACAGCTCAATATAAGAGGAAACTAGTGGATGACCTCATAATTCTAGGGGAAGATAGACAATATGAATTACTATAAAAGAAGAAGAATCAGAAACATTCGACGGAAGAAGCCGCTGAAGGGATCTTAGAAAAGTACGAGCTGCAAAAATAAGGCATATGGATATACAAAAAACAAGTTGGACTAAGCTTACCTGTTGGAGCCATGATCAACAAATAACCAAATGATGAAATTTGGTGGCCCGAATGTGGTTCATAATTAAACTATGTTATTATAGGAATAAGCACATTTTTTTAAAAATATTATTTTATTTTTTGCATGTATATACAAAACCACCAACCAGGGACGGACGACAAAACAAATTCTAGGGAAGGCATTGTAATAGAAGGACCTAGCTCTGGACTGAGCAGGGGCTAGGAACTTCAAACCAGAAGAAACCCAAGGGGTATGGACCAATGAACAAGAAAGAAGCGTAACAAACCAGGAAACGACGCTTAGACCGTGGGACCGATCACCCCACGATCTAGCTGACCAAATCACCAGGAAGTACTTGGAGCCAGAACCAATCCACTTGAAAGACAGAATACAGCACAATGAACAAGAAAGAAGCATAACAAACCAGGAAACGACACTTAGACCGTGGGACCGTACACCCCACGATCTAGCTGACCCACCAAGAAGTACTTGGAACCAGAACAGACCCACAATACAGAAAACAGGACCGGACCAAAAGAAAAAAACCCATGGCTGAAGCGGTGAAGTTGATGAAATTTCTTAGTTGTAAGATATTTTTTTTTTTTGTAGTAACCTGAATAATAATGCACCCTCACCCATCCCACCATAAAAAACTTTTGTAAATTTTCAATTTTTTCCTCTATACACGATATTTGGATTATTGAATTGTTAAGCATCAGGGATATTTTATTATTGTAAAGAATGGATATTTTTAGGATAAGGATATTATTGTATTATGGAATTTATATACATTTTGTTGTAAATGTCTCTTCCAAGCATTGGGGTCCAATGCTTCATGGAGGGGGGCATAATATCTCAACTAGCTGCTTAGGAAAGGAGGACCCGGTATTTAAGCTTATTAATTTAATTGCCAACTCGATCGTATGTTTATTGCAATTCAGCAATAAATTGATATAAATTGCGTTGCAAGCCGCAGCAAAGCCAGACTTAAACCAGTCAAATACCTCTCGTTGGAAAAGCCCCTCTGGAATTAAGTCTCCCCAGTGCAAGTACCTCTCGTTGGGAAAGCCCCTCTGGGTATCTTCAGCCTTATCGTTGTCCAGTGCAATTACCTCTCAGGCATAAGGGTGACGATAAACTAATCTACAGTCCCCCAAGCAGCGTTGACGTGTGGCCCCCTATAAGGACCCCAGTCTTCGAAGGGTCATGCATCTTATAGGATTAGCGTACATATAAGGGCATATTTGGGAAAATATATAGCATATATTTTTATATAACCTGAGCGAGTTTCTCTGCATCAACCCCCAAAGCTACAAACCCCCCATGTCACCCCCGTAAAGCGAGCAGTTGTGACAATATGGCATTATAATGAGAGTATAATGGTATTACTGGAATTATGTGGTATTACATTGGCATTCCAGTATTGTTGGGATTATCCGAGACATTACCATTCTAAATGCAGGATCATGATGTAATTTCTTGCATTACATTGGAATTGAAGGAATTATTTTAAAGAAGCATCAATGTGCAATAGGTACATGTACAAATTTTGGTTCAGTTTTTACCCGCTCGAAATTAGGTAGGCATGGCAAAATTATTTGGAATGTGACATGATAGAATAATAATTTATTACGTACATACAAAGAATTTAAAAATATTACTTACCAAGTTGGCATGTACTGTAGCTTCCTCAATGTATTTGGCAATACCAGTAACAAACCCATTCCTATCCTCAAAATTTGTATCAAAGTTGGCTTGATAAACCACACTACATGGTTGAGCCTCAATGCAAGGCTGCTCGTCAGGAAGGGGCAATTCATCCAAAACTTCTACATTGGATAATGCATCGTTCATTGAAACTCTATCAGTACCTGCCATAGTTGTAGATGTAGGTCTTCCTGTTCTTACTAAAAAAACCTATTTCATTCTATATTCGCATTGTTTCTCTTATGTTTTAGATTGGGACCACAAATTAGCATAAATCTGGATTCGTCGATTTTATTGTTTCTGTCATCACAAAACCGAGATGATTAATTTATTACGATTACGGAAGTAATTAAAAACAGAAAAGGTGCGGCATAAAAGCACTATACCAAAGTAAACAGTCTTGGCTCTTGGCCCTTGGGTCGGATCACTCCCACTCGGATTCTCAAATTTTTCGATTTTGTACTACAACTAGAACTGTCAATTGTCAAAATTATCTAGTTCAGGACGCGTTCAGAAACATGGTTGTTGGTGTAGAATGGGCCACTTTCACATTTTTCAAAAACATATTCAAAAGTCATTTTAATACTATCTGTATACATACTTTTTATCAAAAAAAAACCGCTTATTTCTAAAAAAAACATCATTTAAAAATCGAATTTTTAAACTGCCGCGGATTCGGTTTCTGACGTCATAAACTCGAAAAATCAATGAAAATGCGAAGATGTCGAATTTCTTATTAGTAAATCATTACACAACTCACTACATAGAAACTATGTTTGTCCTTTACTACGGTATAAAAAAATAAAGGATAGGTATAATCGTTGAACTCATTTAAATTTCGTATTTTTAAATGTGGTAACAAAATCATGCATATCGGCTTTAGCCAATGAGAGAACGTTTTCAGTCACGTAATTTTTTGTTTAAATTTTCCATTTTTATTTATCAATTTATTTAGGGCCGAATTATAGTCGTTCCTTCTTTGCGTTCGGTATTTTGCTCGAAGAGCAGAGCGTGCTGAGCGGAGCTGTAATCACGTGACCAGCGAGCGAACAGAGCAGTTGAACGCCGTATACGAGTGCTCGAAATTTCAATAAACAAACGCGAATGAGCCTGCATCGAGTACACTTTTTAAATAAACGAACGGTAAATTCAAGCTCGGAGAACTCAGAACCAAATACCGAACGCAAGGCTTGAATCTTCCTTGTAGTCGCGAGTTTAGAATGGACGCTTGCTTCTATTTGACAAGTTAATCATATCAATTCTAAGCATTCAAGGCTAACTTAAGGTCTGAGGAAACCTCAAGGATCGACTATAAATTCGGCCCTTAATGATCTGACTAAAATCTTGCAATAAAATATTGTTCATTCCCGGTTGCATTCATTTTCCGGCACGTGAGAGTGGCCCATTATTTTGGAGGGACTGGGTTATCTGAAGGGCGACTTTTAACTGTAATAAAATAGCTTGGGGCTTAAGTCTAGACAATTTTGCCACGTTTTGGGTTTTGGTTTTCAAAAAAAAAAAACTAAATCAAAGAGTGCCTTTTGATTACAAAACGGTACTTCGCGCAGTGAAATGTATAGGTATATAGGTACTACGTAAATGGAATGGCACCAGCATTTATCACGCCTGAGGCAAATTCTTAGGCCCAGTTGTACAAGCTCGGTTCAAAATAGAGTTCAGCTGAATTCGACTGGTACTTTTCCATTTAAAATACATTGCTGTCCGTTATTAATCAAATTCTATCAATTTTGACAGCAATGCATTTCAAATGGGAATGTTCAAGAGTACCAGTCGAGTTCAGTTGAACTTTGTTTTGAACCGAGATTGTACAACTGGGCCTTATTGGAGTAAAAGGGGTGGCCGTTTTTGTCTTACGCATTACTGTAGGCGGACTAGGTGGATTAATTATACCCCACTGTTGCTCGTAAACATGCACGCGTGCGACAAAGCAAACAACCCCTTTTATTGTCGTTCTCACTACCATAAAATTTGCCTCAAAAATGGACATTGAGGGCCATATTCTCCGTAGTTCATAGAGTCTGGCTTAGGTAATTCCAGAAGTTAACTTTAAGTTAACTCTCAAAGCAGTTTTATAATACCCGCCCTTAGTGGGAAAGCTCGGCTTTAAGCAGCTGTCAGATCCGTTCCAGTTACGTGTAGTAGTTCGACGTCGCGTCGGTTTCCATAAATAAATCTCAAAGTGACAAATGAAAATCCAATAACTTCAATTTCTCGGTTACAACCAATGATAATACACACTACTACTACAGGATAGCCTATTCCCATAGGGCCTGTGTGGAACAAATCTGTAGCTTCCCACAACGCCAAATCACCAATTGTTCGTAGGCAGCATGTCCTTTCTCGCATTGACGTAGTAAAATCGCAGATTTCTGTCTTACCTTATCACGGCCGGGAGGCGTGGCATAAAAAGAGGCGTGACATGAAAAACTACTATACAAAACACAAAACATTGTATTTTTGAGCGAGCACCGAAAAACTCCCTGAAATCGAGTTTTCCGGATAATTTGATTGGATTCCTGAGGTTGAAAACCCTTCAAATACCAACTGTCGAGAAAATTGTTAGAGCCGTTCTCAAGAAGATAGCATGAATGAAAATACATACATACATACAATTTTTACTTGTTTAAGATAATAAGATTTAAGCTAAGATATATATCAAAAATTGTTTACGCAAATGTGATCAAAACACAGTGTTTCACGAACATCGAATCAGAGGCGTTTTAGGGTAGGTATTTTAAGATCGATTTGAATTTAGATTTTAGAATTAGAACAAATAAAACTACTGTATAAAATTATCAACACAAAACAAAGATGTAATATAAATATTGTAATATCTCATGATAAACATATAGCTATGAAACTAGAACTCAAAATAATATTTATCAAATCACCACCAGAACAGATATAGGTTTAAACAACCCAATTGTAAAAGCGTCCAAAGCATCTTAATTAGGGTGGGTATTATAAAGCTACTCTCATAGTTAACTTCTGGAATAACATGTAATTCAAAAAGTTGACTTCAAGTTAACTGTCAAAGAAGTTTTATAATACCCGCCCTTAGGCAATCCAATCCATCTGTCAAAAAGGAAAATTCAATATGGCGTGGTCACAGCTTAAAGCGTGGTAGCCAAGCAAGTTTGTTTTGAATATGTTTTTATGCGTATTTAAAATGGACCTCTTGCATTCAATCAAAATTAGGTATATAATTTATCTGTAACGAAAGAGTATTTTATATACTACATAAAAGTATGGTTGGTTAATTTCTAAAAAAATCTTGAAGCCAGAAATTGAAAGAAAAAAAACAGATTATTTGAATTTTGCGCTATATTTTTGCACTAATCAAAAATCACTGATTACCAAATTTTCATGTTCCAAACGAATCCTTTTTTTTTTCCTTTTTCAACTCATCGAACGAAAAAGGATGCACATATATATCAAAATCCCTTTGTGTATCGACTTTGGTACAGCCCTACTTTTGACTTGAAAGAGGAGAATGACATCTAATGAAGTATCGACTAGTCTCGAAATTTTTTTTTCCTTGTCTAAATGCGAATTATAGACAAAGAAATCAATATCTGTATTAATCCGGCACAGTATAAAGTACGAAAACGATAAAAAGGATTTTTGTTTACCAATAGGTCAGTGACCCCTGGCCCATCACAAACAAAATAAACAATAATTAAATTAACAACAAAAAACAGCAGTCTGGGGCAGTGTAATTTGAAGAAAAAAGAAAAAGGATTTTTTTGCCTGTGAAAATGTAAAATGTTACAGCAGTATGCAACATCCTCTTTTAAATTAAAAGCGCTTTTTAAAACTGGTTCTTTTAAAAATTTGTATGGCTTAGAATACACATTTTTGAAAGTGACCAGTTTTAAAAAGGGCTTTTAAGTTAAAATAGGATGTTGCATATAGCTGTGTCTTTAGAGAAACTGGTAGGGTAGGTATATGAAATACAGACACATAAAAATTATACTTGTGTTTTATTTCCCATAAACCACTTAAAAGAAAAATAACAATAATTTTATTAGGGCGGGTATTATAAAACTGCTTTGACAGTTAACTTGAAGTTAACTTTTTGAATTACATGTAATTCCAGAAGTTAACTTTAAGTTAACTTAAAGTTAACTTTTTAAATTACATGTAATTCCAGAAGTTAACCTTAAGTTAACTCTCAAAGTAGTTTTATAATACCCGCCCTTAGTAAGGTAATTGTTGTTTATTTTGTTTGTGATAAAGAATGGAAAACGGTTTGTAAAAGCTGATTCCGGAAACTGGCCAGAAGTGAGCATGGATATGCTTTCGGAAAAAATTCACATGAAGGGTATAGATGCATTTACTAATACCTACCTACCTACCTAGGAGGTAGGTATTAGTAAATGCAGGTAGAGCAACCTTTCTCAAACAAATTGATTCCCATATGCCTATTGGTAGAAACTTGTACAGGGTGTTCCGAAATTAATGCACCAAATTGTTATGGCATATTCTACGTCGAAAATAAACCCCAGTTACCTATATAAACATATGTCCGGAAACGCTTGCTTTCCGAGATACCGCGTGTTGAAATTCTAAGAAAAAAACTATGTTTTTAACTTTCAAACCACTCTAGATATTTCATTGGAATTTTATACACTGCATTCAAGCAGCAAAAGACATTTTTTGATGTGAAAATATATATTTTTTTTAATTACCAGTGGCGTCCTACCAGAAATGTAAGAAATATTTTTAAAGAAAAAAATGGTGCGTCACTGCTTTTTCCTAAAATAAAATCATTTTTGAAATCCCCATTCAATTTGGAACAAATTTGATATCTTCACTTTTTTCCGAAAGATGCACAGTTTTAAAGTAAAAAAATAAAAAACCATTTTGATTCATGGCGAAATCGCCAAAATTATGATAAAAATGCTAAAAATTTAAACACCTAAAGTTTCAAATTAGTTTTGTGACGTCACTGGCATTTTTTAAAAAATATTTCAGATCAGAAAATGTCTTTTGCTGCTTGAACGCAATGTACAAAATTTCAAAGTGGTATGAATTATGATAAAAAAATAGTTTTTTTCTTAGAATTTCAACACCCATATATCTCGGAAAGGAAGCGTTTCCGGACATATGTTTATATAGGTAACTAGGGTTTATTTTCGACGTAGAATATGCCATGAAAATTTGGTGCATCAATTTCGGAACACCCTGTATAGCCACAGGACATAACAAAAACAATAATAACATAAACAATAACAACATAAAAAGTTGACCTTATGGAATCCCCTTATGGCGTTTATACAGAAAATAACAAGCATAAGAAGTAAGAGAGTTGCTTAACTTTTAAATTTTATGTCTTTATTTTATGTGAAAATGGATCTGCACATGCTTCTCTCTTGATTTCGACATGGCAGGGAAGTAAACAAAACCTTCAAAACAAAACAAAATTATTTTGATTTTGGTTTCAACTTTTGGTAATTTTTTGGAATTCGGCATTTATTATCGTGTTCTGCTGAATTATTAAGTTATTAATAAATTTTTTCATCAAATAATATGTGTTTTCGGTAGAATTTACATAAGTACAAGTACCAGCTGAACAGTGAATATCTTGGGAACTAATCATTCGATTTTCAAAAAAAATACGCAGTTGTGACGAGAATCAAAATAACTTTGAAACAAGGTACCACCCGATCCACCTTTCCTATCTATAAAACAGGTCTGTGAAAACAGGGGTGAAAGTCACACCACCCAGGGGGTGCACCCTAGCGAAATACCGATGGGGTCAAAAAGTTTCCCTTTTGAATACAAAAATGATATGTCCTTTTCTGTAGGGAGTGTGACGCCCGGAGCTACTCGGGGCCTTGAGCTCCCGAGCTGTACGTACGCGTCAACCTGTCAGCTGTCACATCCGTGGGTGGCTATTTATTTATTTATTTCTTGTTATATCTCAAGATTGAACAATGAACATTTTAAAAAATATAGTTTTGATTTTCTTTCATTTATGATAAATAAAAAAACAAACTGCACAAACAAACAGATAATTATTTTTAAAATTTGACATATTTGACACTAAGACAGGCGTCTCACGTCATGATACTGGAACGGTACATATCTAGTGCGTGGCGCCCCCGAGGTACTCTAGAGCGCGCCAATGTGCATTGTGCATACAGGGCTGCGTTCAGAAATGGCTACAGCCAAGCCAAAATTGGCTTTTTGCGTTCGAGTTCGGCTCCAACCTACGTTGTCCGGCATTACAAGTGGAGGGGGAAAAGTAGGTTTTGGCATTAGCATTGCCGTCCTTGAACGCACCCCTGGAAAGCGGCTCTAGTATTTAAAAAAAAATTCGATCTAAAATATTTACCTTGCGTTCGGTATTTTGCTCAAAGAGCAGAGCGGAGCCGTAATCACGTGACCAGCGAGCGCACAGAGCAGTTAAACGCTGTATTGGAGGGCTCGAAAGTTTAATAGAACGTGAATGAGCCTGCACCGAGTACACTTTTTAAATAAACGAACCGTAAATTTATCCTCGGAGAACTCAGACGAAAATACCGAACGCACGGTTAGTTGAAGGCTGTAGGTATGGGCTTAAATTAAATATATCCAAATACCCTGAACAAACGCCTTATTCCTTATTTTTCTTATTTCCTATGTTATTTTATTCAATTTTCTGTATAAAAAAGCTAGTCCTCATAAGTGCGAATTGCGGATTGCGTTTTTTTTTTACCAAAATTTCGCGTATTTTATTCAATCGACAAGTTGTTTATTGTTGTTTGATATAAATAATTCATCGATTATTAACAATTTTAATGTTTTTAAATAAATAACAGAAAGAGATATGCCTTTTGGGCATGCTTTATGTGTAAAAAAAATTAGACAAAGATGACAACAAAAAAACAATGCGAATATCGCATAAAGTTTTTTTTTCTCCGCAAAAAGATAACAATAGCTGCTTACGATCAAGCACTTTTCTTACCTAACTTAAAGAATCTAACTTAGTTGCGCGTACGATCTATCACAACTAAGTTAGAATCTGCCTTCCCCCCTTTCCCCTGCTAAGACACCCGGATTTTTAACTGTGATAACTTAGCTGACCAAAGTTGGCGCGAAGTACGCATTTTTTGAATTTTGACGTTTAATAATTTCTAAATTGAGGTTGTTTGTTTATTTTTATTTTGTTGAAAGTTGGTCGCTGGAACAGGAACTTTGAAAAGGTGTTTAGTTTAATGAAATTTATTATTCATTATTGCCATTGCACGCGTCATGACACTTCTAGGTAGATAATTGTTCATTTTTAATGTGAAATAAACTGTGATCAGCCTATATGAATTGCGCGTACGATCAAACAACTTAGCTCTGCTAAGAAACTAACTTTAACTTAGGTAAGAAAAGTGCTTGATCGTAAGCAGCTATTTTCCGCAATATTTTCCCTCCCTGTCAAATTCAAATATTTTTGACCAATGAAAATAAATCCACAAAATTAATATTCGCATTTCGCAGTTATAGTTGTATTCCTTTCACACTTAGGAGGTGCTCCGGAACAGCTCCGGGGCTTCACGCGCTTATTCCTTTTGAAAAGTGTTTGTTGCACCACGCATATGTTCCCTGCAAATCGGGGGCGGCTAAGCACCTAAGCGAGTAGCACGAGTGTTTCAAGCTCTTGAAAGGAATACAACTTATGAGGACTAGGCTTAAACTTAAGAACGCCATTCAGGGCCGGTTTCTCAAATAGTTGTATTCCTTTGACACCTAGAAGGAGCTCCGGAACAGCTCCGGGGCTTTACACGCTAAGCCTAGTTCTCATGGTGCGGGATTCCGCATTGCGGGTCCGGAAATCGCAGTTTTTTGAAAATCGTAATTTTTGATGGTTCACATGAAACGGAATTCCGGATGCGGTTTTATGTCAAATACATGTGATCTTAACCTAACATATTTTTTGTTTTTGTTTTCCTGTGTATGGATATATTGCACAATTAAATTAATATCAATGGAAAAGACAGAGGGAGGTATGAAAAAAAACAAAGTATATGCTACTACGACAAGTAGTAGTATATTCTTCGTAGTGTTTACTTTAAAATGAAGTAGATACTACATTTCGAAACTACCGGAAATTAGTAAATCCTTTGTTGTGAAGTAAATACTTCGTAGAATATACTACTACCTGTAGAAGTAGCAAGTAAAATCTGTTTTTTTTTAAAGATAAAAGTCAAAATGACATTATGTTGGCAATACAATGTAAAATTTTCAATGCTTTCAAATTTTTTGTGCAGAAAAGGCTTGTGTTGCCAACAAAGTTACTAAATTTTTGACTTGGGGAATTATCTTTAAAAAAAACGTACTTTACTTCGTTTTTATTCAGACTACCACCCAATATACGTTAGTATTGGGTTTGCTATTAATCCATAATATGCATGAAACTTCATCAAAGAAGCAGAATAGCAGAGGAATATTAAAAAAAGGAAGATGCTGTTCAGAAATATTCTTCTGAAAAGGCATGAACAAGGGGTTTGCTGTAATAATATGTATTTGAAAATAAAACAAGCACACAAGCAAGCAGATCAATTTATTTTTGTTAGGTATTAATTGTTTTAATGTTTTTTGTTTGAGGTTAGTTTATTTGTTTATGTAGAAATCAAACAAAGATGAGAAATGTTTAGACAAAGACAGAAAAAAAAATCGCAAGAAAGTTGAAAATGGTTCAACTTTATTGCGGATCCGCAAAAAAGTTGACGTTTTCCCGCCAACGGAATTATTTCAAAAATTCCGCACCCGCAATCCGGAATTCCGCATCATGAGAACTAGGCTTTATTCCTTTCGAAAAGTGTTTGTTGCAGCACGCATCTGTTCCTTTCAAATCGTGGTCGAGTAACATCGGAACGAGTAGCTCGAGTGTTCCAAACTCTTGAAAGGAATGCAACTCAAGTCACCCCCGGGTTAAGCATGAAAAAAGGACGGTTCTAGAGCGGTTCAAAACAATCGCACAGTTTATTATCGAAATTTGTGATAGCCGAGCTGCAACGGCCGCAACACCGTTTTCATTTTGTTGATTAAATGATTGATAAACTGTGCGATTGTTTTGAACCGTTCTAGAACCGTCCTTTTTTCAAACCCGACCGTGGCGAAATCGTCTGTCGTCTGTCTAATATTTGTATATTTGTTGTTGGTTGTCTAGCACTAGCCTTGCCTTGCCTGTAGTTTCTAGAATAAGTAATTTGTAAAGTTCAATTTGATGTGAAGGCAATCCAGTTTAACAGCAAGTATTATTACAAGATGTTAAATGTTACCTCATCGTGAATAATCGTGATCATAGACTACTTGTTTCGTTCGGCTAACCAGAGGAGAGGAGCGGATAGCCTTCGTTTTGATAAAATTAATTTCGAAACTTGCATTCTGAAAACCTTCAAGATGTTAATGATTTGCGAGTCTAGTTCGTGTACACACGATCATGAATGTTTTCCAAACAATTTTCCGATTTTCTGAAGATTGCCTTCAACTGTGTTTTTACTTATTTATTAAAGATGTGTAATAGTGGAAAGAAAAGCAAGGAACAGGATTCAGTGTACTGTTTTAAACCTTTCTCCTATGAGAAGGTTAATTTTGAATCTGGTAATGATAAAGTTCCTCATCCAAGAAGTGGGCATAGGATAGGAGCAGATTCGTCAAATTTTTACTCATTCGGAGGCTATAATCCATTAATCCAACGTGAAGAATATCACTATGAAGATGATTCATATATAGATTCCTATCCTTTGTTCCAAGAATTGTGGAAGTTCAATTTTGCTTCAAAAAGGTGGACTAAATTCAAAAATGGAACCACTTTGCCCAAGGAACTGGTGTCAAATGCAGTGCTGTTAAATAAAAATATTCTGATGGTAAGTTAGCTTCTTGAAATTTGGATGCCTACATAATACTAGAATTCCAAATAGTGTAGGAAGATGTCCATAGCATTTCAAAAATCAAAATATCTAATTAACAAAACTATACCTAATAGTAAAAGGTTTCAAATTTATTAGTCATCATCTAACCAAGTCATCATCACTTAAATACTTTATTCATATGATCGCAGCCCATGTTTGGGTTAGTGGTAGGATATAAGTACACAAAAACCTAGACATCTGAGTTGAGTATGTATTTATGACCTCCGAGTAATAAGTTTCGAGCTCGTTTTCTAGTGAACTGCTTAATTCCTGCCTTCCTATTGAAAGGAATACAACTTATGAGGACTAGGCTTAAACTTAAGAACGCCATTCAGGGCCGGTTTCTCAAATAGTTGTATTCCTTTGACACCTAGAAGGAGCTCCGGAACAGCTCCGGGGCTTTACACGCTAAGCCTAGTTCTCATGGTGCGGGATTCCGCATTGCGGGTCCGGAAATCGCAGTTTTTTGAAAATCGTAATTTTTGATGGTTCACATGAAACGGAATTCCGGATGCGGTTTTATGTCAAATACATGTGATCTTAACCTAACATATTTTTTGTTTTTGTTTTCCTGTGTATGGATATATTGCACAATTAAATTAATATCAATGGAAAAGACAGAGGGAGGTATGAAAAAAAACAAAGTATATGCTACTACGACAAGTAGTAGTATATTCTTCGTAGTGTTTACTTTAAAATGAAGTAGATACTACATTTCGAAACTACCGGAAATTAGTAAATCCTTTGTTGTGAAGTAAATACTTCGTAGAATATACTACTACCTGTAGAAGTAGCAAGTAAAATCTGTTTTTTTTTAAAGATAAAAGTCAAAATGACATTATGTTGGCAATACAATGTAAAATTTTCAATGCTTTCAAATTTTTTGTGCAGAAAAGGCTTGTGTTGCCAACAAAGTTACTAAATTTTTGACTTGGGGAATTATCTTTAAAAAAAACGTACTTTACTTCGTTTTTATTCAGACTACCACCCAATATACGTTAGTATTGGGTTTGCTATTAATCCATAATATGCATGAAACTTCATCAAAGAAGCAGAATAGCAGAGGAATATTAAAAAAAGGAAGATGCTGTTCAGAAATATTCTTCTGAAAAGGCATGAACAAGGGGTTTGCTGTAATAATATGTATTTGAAAATAAAACAAGCACACAAGCAAGCAGATCAATTTATTTTTGTTAGGTATTAATTGTTTTAATGTTTTTTGTTTGAGGTTAGTTTATTTGTTTATGTAGAAATCAAACAAAGATGAGAAATGTTTAGACAAAGACAGAAAAAAAAATCGCAAGAAAGTTGAAAATGGTTCAACTTTATTGCGGATCCGCAAAAAAGTTGACGTTTTCCCGCCAACGGAATTATTTCAAAAATTCCGCACCCGCAATCCGGAATTCCGCATCATGAGAACTAGGCTTTATTCCTTTCGAAAAGTGTTTGTTGCAGCACGCATCTGTTCCTTTCAAATCGTGGTCGAGTAACATCGGAACGAGTAGCTCGAGTGTTCCAAACTCTTGAAAGGAATGCAACTCAAGTCACCCCCGGGTTAAGCATGAAAAAAGGACGGTTCTAGAGCGGTTCAAAACAATCGCACAGTTTATTATCGAAATTTGTGATAGCCGAGCTGCAACGGCCGCAACACCGTTTTCATTTTGTTGATTAAATGATTGATAAACTGTGCGATTGTTTTGAACCGTTCTAGAACCGTCCTTTTTTCAAACCCGACCGTGGCGAAATCGTCTGTCGTCTGTCTAATATTTGTATATTTGTTGTTGGTTGTCTAGCACTAGCCTTGCCTTGCCTGTAGTTTCTAGAATAAGTAATTTGTAAAGTTCAATTTGATGTGAAGGCAATCCAGTTTAACAGCAAGTATTATTACAAGATGTTAAATGTTACCTCATCGTGAATAATCGTGATCATAGACTACTTGTTTCGTTCGGCTAACCAGAGGAGAGGAGCGGATAGCCTTCGTTTTGATAAAATTAATTTCGAAACTTGCATTCTGAAAACCTTCAAGATGTTAATGATTTGCGAGTCTAGTTCGTGTACACACGATCATGAATGTTTTCCAAACAATTTTCCGATTTTCTGAAGATTGCCTTCAACTGTGTTTTTACTTATTTATTAAAGATGTGTAATAGTGGAAAGAAAAGCAAGGAACAGGATTCAGTGTACTGTTTTAAACCTTTCTCCTATGAGAAGGTTAATTTTGAATCTGGTAATGATAAAGTTCCTCATCCAAGAAGTGGGCATAGGATAGGAGCAGATTCGTCAAATTTTTACTCATTCGGAGGCTATAATCCATTAATCCAACGTGAAGAATATCACTATGAAGATGATTCATATATAGATTCCTATCCTTTGTTCCAAGAATTGTGGAAGTTCAATTTTGCTTCAAAAAGGTGGACTAAATTCAAAAATGGAACCACTTTGCCCAAGGAACTGGTGTCAAATGCAGTGCTGTTAAATAAAAATATTCTGATGGTAAGTTAGCTTCTTGAAATTTGGATGCCTACATAATACTAGAATTCCAAATAGTGTAGGAAGATGTCCATAGCATTTCAAAAATCAAAATATCTAATTAACAAAACTATACCTAATAGTAAAAGGTTTCAAATTTATTAGTCATCATCTAACCAAGTCATCATCACTTAAATACTTTATTCATATGATCGCAGCCCATGTTTGGGTTAGTGGTAGGATATAAGTACACAAAAACCTAGACATCTGAGTTGAGTATGTATTTATGACCTCCGAGTAATAAGTTTCGAGCTCGTTTTCTAGTGAACTGCTTAATTCCTGCCTTCCTATTCTCTTCGAGGTTTTTTTTACCAGAACTTATGAAAAGAAGGTTAACTTTTTATCAATTACCTATCTATGAGGTCGAAGTATATTTGCTTTGAAATGCGTGTTCTCTAGAATATGCATACCTACTTAACACAGCAAAACATAATTTAAGTATTTATTAGGTGATTTGGTGCAATCAATGCTCAAAAAAGACTTTGAATGAGAACAAGTTAAAGCTCCAATTAGCTATGTGTGCTGTTAATAAAAAGAATAATTATCATTATTACGGGTATTCTCGTGGGTATTTAAATATCACTAAAATTACTAATGAGAGAATTCTTGCACTAGCAATGACAGCTATTTTGGTGCAGTTTTAGGACAAGCTGTGGTTGATTTAGAAATCCGCTCTCATTGGATTTTTTTTTTTTTTGTGGGAATGCTCGTGGGAATGTTGATGAATTAATTAATTTTCAAAGATATTATCTTAGAAAAAGTTCGTTTTTCGTTTTTATAGTAAAATTTAAAAGTGTAAAAAGATACATTATCGTCCACTCTTCAAACATTTTAAAAAATAGGCCCTTAATATTTTAAACCTAAAAAACCGGATTTACACCATTGAAACAAAATAAAACAACAGTATTTTGGTATAAAATTTACTCGGTAATTTGATAAAACTATCCGAGCTTTTTTGGTTTAATCAGACCATCTTCAGAGCCGCCCGCCCTATAACAAATAAAAATCTTTGGAAAGATCTTTGTATTTGTTTGTGAATTGTGAGTACTTACTCGTCATAGAAATCGTGGTTCAACACAGGCACAGGACATTATAATATAACAGAACAGAACACTAAACAATAATACATATTAAATGAGACCTGATGAGGATCACTTTGAAAAAAAAAATCTTTTTTTTCTTTCTTTTATATAAACTAAACAGACATGGCAAAATACAAAACCAACAATAATAAAACTAATCCAAGTTTTAACAATTAAATGGTACAATTTTAAAGGAACTAAGTAGGTACACAAGGAATGCAGCAAATACTTATTTATCAATGTAAACAAACAGAACCTTTATCGCATATTGCAACTAGTAAAAAATCATTCAATTTCCCAAGCAAGATAGATTTTTACCTGGGTTTGTCTACAAAAATTTGATTAAAATTGGCTAGGTTTGTGTGGGAAATTGCTGTAACCGTTTGTCCATATTTCAAGGATTACCACTGCAAAATCAAAAAACAAAGAAAAAACAACAGATTGCTTCAGGAAATCGAATGTTAAGAATCAAACATTTTCTCATTCTCTTTATACCCTTTAACATCTTGAAAATTCTAGACAGAACTATAATTTCTATTTAAAAAACTCCAAAAATAATTGAAAGTTATAAGAAAAAGTAACTGTAAGGAGGTGGGTATCGAGGTGGCTATGTTATCAGTAAACAATTTAAATGTTGGGCATTATGTTAGGGTAATGGATAGGGTTTATTTTAATTTTTTCTGGCAATTTCCAGGTCCCCTCTGTAATTAAGGGCGCCCTCCGCCAATGTAATTTTCCTATGCCTGCACTTCAAGCTAGTTTGTCCATTCAAAAAAAAACTAGGGAATATATCACTGAGCTCAGGAAATAATTGTGTTAAGTAATGGTAGATTACTACAATAAAGCAATTATAGCTTCAAATTTGAAGATTTAGGACATGATCTAGGGCTTCAAAAATACCCTTATTTTAACGTTGCTAATCGGTCCCTAAAATGCATATTTCAAGTCACCTGAATGATTGTTTTCATTTAAACTGCTTTAATAACATATGGATATGATGCAATTCGAGCTGATCATTTCATTTTGTCCTAAAATTCAATATTTTATTTTTAAATGGACAAAATAATTGTTTGTTAAAATTTTCTAAGACCGTAATTGTTTCATTTTATACTAATCCCCTGTGAAATAGCTTAGTAGCAGAGTTGTACGCGTGGAAAAGAGATGGGTCGATCCAACTACTCGTACTGCTCGCGTTAGATCGATAAATCAAAATAATTGCAGATAACGGCCGGGTTGGAGCATATTTTATTAGATGGCGCTCGTGAATCGAAATTCAGGGTCGGACTTTGGGTGACGGGTTCAAAAGCAAAGCAGCCAAAAAATTGCTACGTCCTAGTCGTATTGTTATGAATAGGTACCTGCGTCAAAAATAATAGCTAAATAACTAACCCAAACTTGAAGAATTAAATTTCTAATACGCCGCGGTAGGTACCTATACATTTATGGAAAAATAGTTACCCAATTCGTTGAGTCGTTTTGAAGTTATTCGTGTTCTTAAGTTGCAATATTTGACAGCTCATAACTGTCTTATCCGATAAGTTATGGTAAAAATTCATGAATCAAAATTGTGTGAAATTTCATCAAAAATCTATTGCTAGCATTTTTGAGATACGTTTCCATTTGAAATTAAAAAAATAAAACCATTTTTGTACGTTGACAGTTGGGTTACGCCCCCTCACGGTCATTTTAGAAAGCTGAAATATATTTCCAGCATTTTCTCTTGGCCATATTTATGGGATAATTTTTTTCCGACATGACTACGATGAATAGTTTTTGAGATATGGCCGAGTGCCATTCTTAATGAATCACCCTGTACAAGGGTATTTGATTATATTTGGACCAATACCTACAGCCTTTACTATTTAAGATAGAAAAAAATTTTAAATACAAAACTGACAGTTTTTTTCTATATTTTCTTTTAACGTTATCAGAAAAAACAAAATCGCATCGGAAAATGGCGAAATGTAGACAACTTTGCCTTTTTTTAATGGAACACCCTGTATATTTTGCGATTAAATGAAAGATCTTTTCTTCCTGATTCAAAAAATGGATATATTGATCACATTTGAGTGAGTCATTTTTGACACATTTTAGCTTAAATTAAAAAGAATTTGCAAAGAAATTTCATAACGATGTCAAGACATTTAAATCTTTATAAAGTTTCTTCGGATTTTAATTATAATTTAAGCTGATTTTTATTTTATTTTTTTCCATATTATTTTTGTTAAAAATGCTGGATGAAACGCTAAAATAATTCCTACTAGAAGAATATACTCGGCTCTATTTCTACTTCCACAAACTTAGATATAATATTTTTATAAGAAACAATAAACACAGTACCTAAAATTGAAAAAAAAAAACCTAACTTGCTAAATGTATTAAAAAACATCGAAAACTACGACAACGACAAAGTCCGATCCTGGCTTGAGCATTTGAAGATAGAACGAAATGTGTTGCCATTCGAATGAAAATAAATTTAATAAATTTTGCGGTGGGGGCGACACCACCTGGACTGTAAAAATGCGAAATCACCCATCCCTGTTGCTCGGCGATGTGGACACCTCTCACTCGCAGAGAGCGCAGCCTTAAGGGAGTTGGGGTTATTTGACCTCCGAGGATTAATTTATTTTGCTGTCTTCACAAGGAGAGAAACTCGGAGAGAAATTATGTTTTGTGAGGTGGGCAAAAGCAGAGTGTTGTGGCTTGGAGTTTTTTAAATAAAAATTATAATTTTGAGTGTCTTTAAGAATCCTCAAGATGTAAAAGGGGACGAACAGAATGAGAAAATTTTGATTCTCAATATTCAATTTCCTAAAGCAAGTTTTTTGTTTTTCGTTTCAAAAGGCAATTAAAACTCAATGAATTGCTATCCCCTCCCTGCAGCTTCTAAATCTATCTTGACAATCTTGTTGATGACCATGAGAATTAGAGACATATTAAGTAAGCACGCAAAACCTAATCAGCAGATATCATGTTTATGTCATTCATTGCTGCGTAATTCTTGCTAATTATTCACCATATTAATAAATTATAGTCTGTTTTCTAATTGCTGATAGCACAAGACCTTCATTATAAATGTTATAGGACTTTTTTCTATGAGGTGAGATGTAAGCGAATTATTTTAAACTCGATTTTAAATTTCATTACAAAATAGATAGTTTTGAAGGAAATTTATGGTGTCTGCATTCATAATAAAAAAATATGTATTTATTTAGGCAATTGATTTGTTTTTTAGATTTATGGTGGTACTGGATCTCCTTTTGGAACAATATGCAGTAATCAATTGTATGTTTGTAATATAGACGACATTGACAATCTGATGATAGAGATTAAAACTACTGGCCAGTTACCATTACCTCAATATGGCCAAGCCATTGTGTATCATAATGATTATTTATATGCCATAGGAGGAACCACTGGGTTTGATTATACATGTGATATTCATAGGTGAGGATTTTACGAGATATGCTATTAATAAATTTATTTCCTAAATTTAAAGTTTTGTTATATATTTTTCTCGATATTTTAATTTTTAATTATTACACAATGCTTCAAATTGCAATTCACAAAATCATTTACCTATGTTGTTTTTTTTTTTGAGGTTATTTTCTCAATTATTTACTAGTACCTAATTCTTTTGTTGGGCAATAACATCATGGTTCACAACTTATTCATAAAGATTTTGAAAACTGTTTATTTCAACAACCACATTTCAACATTCATTTAAGAACAAAAATTCTGATAGTCCAATTCATAATAAAACAATATCAAGAAGATAGAATTTCAAAGCAGATTTTTTTTGGCATCTAGCTAAATTAACAGCTGGGTGTGCTAAGCACAAAAGGTTTGAGAGATTTTTGGATAATACAGTTTTAGAAAAGATAATTTCAATTTTATGTATTCCTATGAACATGTACTGTAAACTTTTATTAATAACTTTATAAATTTAAAATGACAACTAAAATAATTCACTTAAGTTTACTATATTTTTATCTTATTTACTTAGTTTTTCATTTCTTCCATCATGGGAGTCCCATGTTTATGCGGAGTAAATTATTCAATTTAGGTCCGTGAGAGATCAGAATCCTTTGAGTTGATTTAAATAATAAATTCTTTAGGCCTAACTGGATATAAAAATAATGAGTTAGAGAAGTATTTATTTCCTTACTAATTTTCCATTGGGATTCTATCCGTCATTCGTAAATTATTGTTATGTATAAAAAAACAATGAAAAAATAGTCAAAGTTTTTTATGACTTTCAGGTTAAATTTAAAGACTTTAATTTGGGAACCAATATATTTGTGCAAGGGAGCTGGAAACTATGAGCCTCCTGGTAGGTACCGACACGAAGTCGGTTTTGACGGAAAGAAAATATTTGTACTAGCTGGAGGTACTGCTGATATGGTTTATGATTTTGCTGATATTCCTGCTTTCGATATGGACAAGAAAAATTGGATCTGCGAAAGAACCATTCCTGCTGGCCAACATGGTATGTTATTTTTTCCTATACACAAAAAAATTTTTCATGTGACATTTATTTTAGGAGTTCCTATGGCAAGAAGATGTCACGGAGCAGCTCAAATTGATCATGGTAACGGCATAGAAGTTTTTATAACTGGTGGTCTTGATGGCGAAGTGATTTTTCAAGACTTGTGGCGACTAAACTTAAAAACACTCCAATGGACCTATTTTGAAATGTGTTTCCTACCACGGCCTATATATTTTCATGCAGTCTCTGTCACGCCGCAGGGCCGTTTGTACATTTTTGGAGGCATTCACACCCTAAACGATGAAGTTAAAAGGAGCAACACAGTGTACTCGACATGGGTGTGCATTCCAAAGCTAAGCGAACTATGCTGGGAAGCTGTGCTAAAATATAGTCCTCATATTTTTAAATACTCCAGAAACGACTTAATTAATTTAGGGCTGCCGCGACATTTTGTCCAAAGATTGGGTGATAAGTCTTAGCGCTGTGGCAAACCAAATGTATTTGTTTCCGAGTGACCAGTATTCTCTTGGATTCGAAGTACGGTTTCGTTGCACTTTGCTGCTGGCAGCATTTCGTTACTCGCATCGCCACGCCACCAGCACCTGATTCTCGAAACAAGGGAGCAGTGTTTTCATGAGAATTATTTTTTCTGCCATATGAGATTTTGCATGAAACTAAGAAGGACAAAGGCATTTATTCTCATAGGAATCCTGTTCCTCGTTTTGAGAATCAGGCGAGTGCCAACGCGTTAACAACGATCGGGAAGTGATACGTTCCGGTGTACCGGCCGATCGAAGATCATTATTATTTTTTGTATTTTCAAGAAAAACACAATTTCTTTTTATTTTTCTTATATGCTTACAGGGTTTAATAATATTTAGGCATGTTTTTTTGGCTTATACATAGTTTTAAGTTTAATTTCCACAGTTCAATTGTATTGCTTCAATTTATACTATGTTTTATTAAGAATATACGCATGTAATAAATTTTGATAGAGCTAATAAATTCTTTGTACCCAGACTCAAAAATATTTACCTAAAAAATGCAAATTTGCTGCTTTGTAAATGGACATTTTTGTTCACCCACCAAAGGATTATGTATTGATTGATTGATTAAAATAAAATTAATCAAATTTAAAAAGAAATAATAAATGTCATAAAATTGAAGATATCAGTGAAGCAACACAAACTAATTTATTAAAAAAAGAACAAAAACAAAAAAAAGTATTTTATATTCTTTCATGTTATTCTCCAATACAATTATCAACAACAAAATGGCTTGAATTTTTTTTTTCTTTTAAGGGCTCTTAGTTCTAACCATTGCTCTTGATTTGGTACATACATTTCCGCCGGCATTTGTTGATGTTGATTGTCTTCTTCTGATTCTTCTAAAACAGAAAACTATGTAACACTTGTTTCTAGAGTGAACTAAACCAGTTGTGGCCTGTGACTTATTTTAAGGGAGGCAGCCCGAAAAAAATAAAATGAGCGTTGTAAGTATATTTTTTTTGGGGGGTTAAAATTATATAAAAATCCATTTTGTAGCATTTCTACAGCGAGCCGCCACTGGACTAAACATGCATGACCAACTTTTTCGATTTTTCTTATTTAATTTGTTTCAAAAATTACTTAATTTCATCAAATAAAATAATTAGCTTAATGAAAAAATATTTGTTGCATTTTTTGTGGTCAGCTAAAAGTGGCTAAGTAAAACTTTCTAAGCCTAACAGCAACTTTATGTAAATTAACGATTGGGTACCACTTAATAATTCTTACCAGTTTTTTTAGTAATTTTTTTATCAACCATCTTCAATCTTTCACCAGGACATCTGAGAAGTAACCTGCCAACACCCTCGCATCTACGCAAGACTTCATTTTTCAATAACTTTTTCCTCATATGTTCAGTTATATAAGGGCAATCTTTTATCCACATGCTAACATAAGCAAAATCACAAAGTAGCTGAAAAGCGCCCCATTGTGAGAATTTAATTTTTTTATTGTATATGTGATCTAACCAGGATTCGCTTATAAGGGTTAGGATCATGTTGCATATGGCGTCGTTGTCAACTGATTTTAAGACTGGAGATAACATTTTGTCTAAAAAAAAGGACTTTAAAATTTTGCTAAAAGTGCCTCGGTATTACCTAACTAAAAAATCTATCTCTTATTTTTTGGTGTTTTAAAAACACATACTTTGAATGGGGGAATATGATTCCTTCAATAGTCAAACACGCCTTTCATGTTTCTCAATATTTAAATTTGTGCTTTTTATATTACTTAATTAAATTTTTATTTTATTATTTCGGCTAAATATTTCATCACCTAATATTTCAAAAAGATATTTAGGATTGTTTGATGTCCATGAAGTTTTTTTCCAATTGCCCATGACTGATTTTATTATGTTCACTTATAGTGAAAATATTATTGAAAATAATTAACTTCCCCTTTTGCAATAGAATGAACAATATTTCAATTCAACGACATTCTGCCAACAAAATATTCTTAGGTATATTATTATTTTCGTAATCTCTGCAACAAAACAAAAATCATTCAAGTTTGGGTAGGTAATGTCAGCAACCATGAGCCAAGCCCCAAGCCCCCACCAGTTATTTACCTATAAAGTGTTGAACTTGACATTGTATTTTTTTCTGTTTACTTTGACCTACTTTCTCTTGCATAATATTAATAGCTTACATTATCGATTAATTCGTATACCTAATGAATATTATTTTATTTCTTCAGGAATTCTTATTATGTGTATTCAAAATGTCGAAATAATGTTGATATTTCTTGAGCACTTTAGGTCTTGCTCGGATAGTCAGAGCATTAAGAAACAGCCTGTGTGAGATCTGAATTTAAAAAAAAATGTCTTACTAATCATACTGTTGTTGAAGATATTCATTGTTCTTTGTTCGTTCAATAGATGTTTTTAATTACAAATGAGGTACCTACTTAATTACTATATATGGACTTGCTAAATATGGTCATTTTTGAGTTAGTTTGGGTTTTCTAACCAAATAGAAAGCATTAAGGTTCAGTGAGTCTTCCAAACAATAATTGTGGTACCCATGATAGTAATATTGGAAAAATTAGAAATCCAAATCAGAGATTGCTAGTAATATTGACTTTCTATTTTGATTGTTGTTAAAATTTCGATTATAGTCAAAATTGTGTCATTGATGGGGCTGGGGATGTAAAATTCAAAGGAATTTAATTATGCTGGAATTTCAATCGCTTGCGACCCTCTATATAATCTGTTGAGGATCAGAAATATCATATATATGTATTTAAAATAAGATATACTTTTTTCATAGGAATTTTGGTCGTCACTATTCCCCCCTGCCTGGCGACAATCACGACGGGACCTGCCCTACGTTTAACGTGGGACTTCCAAACTCTTCGAAACCACGGTTCCCAGTTACACAGGAACTTTATAGGCATTTACCCTTGGTGGGCACTACCTGTTGTTCCTCTTAGGTGCAACTAGATGTTCCTAGGTCCCCTAATTCTCTAACAAGATATTTGATATCATATGACCTCTGACTGGTGTGAATTGGAGGAGGAAGAAGATATGTAAAATATTAAATAAAGTAGGTGACTTTGTATGAACGAGTATATTTTCTAATTGAATAGCAAAGCGATTTCAGCTGATGAGCCATCATCAGTGCTAACTAAAATTACATAAAGAGTGGTATAGTACCTATACCTGAAATCAATGAAGTAGAACAGATTTCTCAATTGAATGAATTCTGTGTATAAAGCGTGGAGTTTGTTGGTTGTGGTTGTGGTTATTCTGAGAACCATTCTAAGTGTCTAGCCAGGACCATGAATTTTACTTATACTAGCTCAAATCCAAGACTAGTTTTGTGCCAAAGAGATGAACACCAGCAAATTAGTTAAAACGAACAGAGTCGCGGCGGCTTTTTAAAAATTCGACATTTGGTCGGTATCATATAAAAATTGCCCAAGTCCAAAAAGGTAAATTTTACAGGAGGTGCAAAAGGCCTGTGTGAAGAAAAACTACATGAAAAAAAATCACCGGCAAGAATGCACAAAAGAGGCTGGACTTACGCAAGTTTCACTCGACTTTCGAGACGACGGGCTTGTGCAAATTTCTTTTCATGGTTGTGTGGCTCATGTGTTTCTCACATTGATTGCACAGGCACAAGACTGCACTAAAATCTTAATTTCGAAAAAAAATTGGACTTAGGCAATTTTCATATGATGCCGACGTAAAAATAAAGTCGGCAAACTAAAGAAAAATTGCTGACGCACGAGGAATCACTGCCACAGAAGAAGAAAAATCAGCAACCAGCAATAAAAGACACAAAAGTGAAAGTAAGAACCAAAGTACAACATGTGTCAATTATAGCAAAAAATTAACAGAAAATCAATACCGTACCAAAATTTGGTCATTAAACAAAAGAATTGAAATACAATCTAGCGACAGTAGCAATTTAGTAGACGAACTTGAATTAATCCAAAATGATGCTCGAATAGCATCATTCATAAATAAAACAGGTCAGAGTCGAGAACAAGAGATCGCAAATCTCAAGATCAAGGTGACAACTCTGGAGAATCATATCGATAACTCAAAAACGAAGTGAAACAATAATTAACAGAAGCCTTAAGCAGAATAAGCATTAAAAAACCAATTCGACGACTTGAAACCACTGATCTCAAAAATAAATGGATAAACAATCGTACGGCTTAATTGGCTAAACTTGTGAGAAAATTTGGGGTCAATATTCTACGACCAGTTGTGCAACAGAACAGCCTAACGCCTGCGCAGTTTCTTATTTTTCGAACAACTGTTCTAAATTTTGAAATTCCTTCATTTTCATTGGCTATATTTTGCGCACGCACAATACATGTATCTACTGCGCACGCTCACAGCTGTCCCAGTTGTTTACATTAGGACCTCGTAAATTAGCAGCATTAGAAGGGTTCTTTGTTTATCCATTTATTTTTGAGATCAGTGCTTAATAGTGCGCTTCTCGATGCTGAAAATCACGTTTGCGACTCTGCTGTTTTAATAAAAACAGTTGCATCTAGGAAATTTTAACAAATAACTTTTTTCAAGGATGTGTTTTTATGCTTGCTTGACCAGTGAAATTTTTCCGATTTTTCTCATTTTATGAATATTTTTTTTCAAAAAATGAGAAAAATCAAAAAAAATTTACTGGTCGAGCAAGCACAAAAGTACATTCTTGAAAACAGTTTTTATTAGAATTCCCTAGATGCAACTGTTTTTATTAAAATAGCATAGTCGCAAACGCGAAATACCTATTTTTTCAGCATCGAGAAGCGCACTCTTAAAACAAATAAACACCGAACTAATTCTCACTACCAAACACCAATCAGTAATCACACAAAGTAGACGGCAGAGAACAGCAATAAAATCGTTAAAAAAGCCACCAAAACTGGGCCCGAACGCCGCCTTTTCCTCAGAAAACGAGGAAATTGAAACCACGGAAGTTCACGAAAACACTCCATAATCTATCAGGAGAAAGATGAAGACAACGTGAACTCCCCCAGGTTACCAGAAAACAACAACAAAGCAACGAGGACATTAAACTAAATATCATAATAAAAGGATTTATCCGACTAGTCGACATACTCGACGAGCTAGAAGAACTTAAGTTCTCCCCCTTCCAAATGGAGTGGTTTAAAGCCGACCGATGCCACAAAAACGAAACAGACTACATTACATTTCTGTCACCCAAGATCAGACTTAAAAACGTAGCACACATCCCGATAGTAGTCCTGACCCAACGAAACCCAGGCAGAAGGTTGGTCGGATATGACTACTGATCCAAAAGGCCAATATAAACATCTGTTCCATCAACACCACAGGAAACTGTACAGATTACCGTTACGATGCTGCGCAAAAACGTGAATGTGTGTGTAGAATCTGAAATTCGTATACTGAGTGGTTTTAAAACTGTTTATTGGATGGTTTTTGACGTGTTAGAATAGAACTACTATCCTTCAAACAGACGCTCTGCAAATTCTTACGATGAGAAATATCATGAGTGCTACGACTGTCCGCACAGGCGCAGTCAAGGTGGCTGCTAGACTGGCAGTCAACAAAGGAATAGCGGGTGGCCATTATTTTAGTTCCCCTACTGTCAGTCTCTGTGCGAAAAAGAACCAAGGGGACTTGGGATGGACACAATTAGGCATTCTAGGGAAATATTATAGTATTTTACAGGGAGATACGAGTATGACAAAGAACATTGATGCGCAGAAACCAGCGCCTCTGTTTCAAACCGAGTGCGAATATTCAGGAATTCGTTCGATGGTGTGATTTAAATCAACATTTTTTGATTGGGTTTGTATATTATAAAGCGAGAAGCTTGATATTTACCTAAATATTTGTCTACATACGAGTTTGCAGAATCTGGCACATCTTCTCTATTGATTCTCCATACCGATTTAGGTGGAAACATCATTTGTAAATTAGCCAAATTTATTACTTTGCAAATTGATGCTAAACAACTGACACATTCATTGGGAGTATTCTGAAATCAAACAAAGGTTAATTCAAGCTTTAAAATTCTGATCGAGTGATTTGTTTTTTTGTAGGTAGGGTTACCTTCAATTTTAGCATATTAACTTTTACTTCAGACGCCAACTTTGCCCTCATCAGTGCACACACTTCAACGTGTACAGCCAACCCACCTTTTTCAATTTCATTTGTATGATCGGTCAATCTTAAGTCATTAAGTTGACTCAAACAATTCATTATATCCGTATGCGTTATTGAAAAAAACGCTTTCACGTTCCAGTTATTTGATATTTTTCTACAATCGTTTAGGGCCCAGAGTCTTGCCGTATGTATACTGTGATCTAAGGAAAAAATGCTGGGTTTTACTAAGAACGAAACAGGGCTTCATGTAGCTTTTCGTTAATAGTTTTTGAAATTTTCGTTCAAAATATAAGAAGGGGACACACTCTGATGTCATTTTCCTAGAGTTGTATAGTTTAACCATTATTAATTGAAACTTTATAAAAAAAGGCGGCTCAGTCGATCTCTTTGAAGTCACGTGGGAATCCATAGGCGTCTAAATATTATGTTTATGACAAATGAAAACAAATTGGTTAATAGAGAATAAACATACTCCAGATATTTCCATAAAAACTGAAATGACGAACGCCATTGCCCCGAAATTCTAGCTGATTTACTTTTAGAATACAGTGGAGTTAATACATTAAATAAAGGGGAAAAATTCATATGGTAGGTAATCCTTAAAATTCCGTTTTAAACTATTGAAATAAATCAAATATAAATATTTAAATGGGAATATTATTCCTTCATTAAAAATTCAAATTTGAAATCGATTTTTATTCAATTATCTGTGTAATTTTATACTTTTGTCCACTTCTAAAGAGATATCTCACACTGTCAACAAGAACGGCTTGGCTTTGTCGGTATGCTATAAATACC